AGGGAGGAGCTAACTACACTGAAACTACTCTGAAACTAACACACACACACTTGTTTACAGTTTGTTAGTTCAGTTTTTTGACCTGTACAGGGGGTGGGGGTCTAATTAGCAGAACAATTCATGGCCAAAACGGAGCTTCAACCAAACTAACTTTTGTCCCGTCGACAAACTGAATTTTCTCCTCGCTGTGGATTCTACCCGGACGACAACTAAACAGCTAAATGAGACTATCCCGGGTTTGTTTTATTTAGTCTTTGTTTAGTTTAATTGATCACATTCACACAGTTATTTTAAATTCATTTTATTTGGTTATATCCTTTTGTTTAAACTTACCACCTTTACCTGTGACTCCACCTGGTCTGGGAACAAAGAGGGGGCGTGTCTTTCGGCGGCCATATTTATAGGCTCAGGGGGAGGAGTTGGTCCAGACCATGTGGAGGGAAGCCTCAGAATTGGTTCTTTTTGTTTTATCAAATTGGTTTGGAGAATTTTGGTTTTAGTGTTTCTAGTTGAGTTGGAGCTGTTTAAACTGTTTAGTTTAAAGGGGGATTTAGGCCTCGGATGATAAACTAATGCAGCACAGCAGGAAAACAAGGAAGGTGCAAGAATTGTACCTGTGAGTTGGTGTAAACCCAGGGGGAGGGACTTCCTCTCTGGGCTGTATAAAAGCAGAGGCAGTGTAATCAGTTAGAGGTTCACCGTCAGTGCAGCCGGGTGCACGTGGGGTATTTTCTTTTGTTCCGTTACTTTCTGTTAGTGATGGGCAGATGAAGCTTCATGAAGCATTGAAGCCTTTCATCCAGTTGCTTCACTCTGGTGCAAAGCTTCCGGAAGCTTCATTTGCTCTAGTAGGACGTCTACTGGATGCAAAAAATATCAGTTGACATGAATTTGAAGTGTGTTGCATTTTGCAGAAAGCCTGTGAATAAAACTGTCAGCAAAGTAAAGAAGTATGCAAAACATGTATATTGTAGTGATGTATACTGTGTGTGTGTATATATATAAATATATATAATATATAATATATATATATATATATATATATACTGGCAGTATGGAAAATTATTATTTGGAAATTATGAAAAAAGCAAATGATCATTTCCAGTGAGGTGAGGGGGGTTGGGGTTGGAGTTTGGACAGTGATTGTGCTTTTGTAACGTTGGGTGATTATGGTTCAGGGACACATCATTGGTTTTTATTTAAAAACAACAGTTTCTCCACTGTGGCAGGTCTCAGGCCATTTCTTTTTTTTGACAATATTTCTCCTGCTTTCGAAAACACGAGCTCACAGGGCACAGATGAGGCAGGCGGACACAAGAATGCCACTGCTAATTTATATAAATGGGGATAGACATATTTCTGTCTCTCCAGCCTTCCAGTATTTGGCTCCATCAGGCACCGTTGGACCTCAGTATGTGCGTCTGCTATTACATTTTGTGTTTGTGTCTGTCTGACTCTGTCATCCAGGCGACACCACAGGTTGTTACCTAAGAAATAAGAATTGTTTTTTTGAATGAAGACTGAGCAGTTTATTTCGCTGTCAAAACTCGCGGCAAAACCCGAACCACTTCCTGAATCAGTCACGTGGTACAGCCGGGCAGCGAGGCTTCGGACGTCATCATTTTCAGCTCCTCCCCTAAATGAATCAAGCCTCGATAAGCGCTTCGCGGAAACGCCCCCTCCTCTACTCGGACACACGCCTCGAAGACTCGACACGGAACGTCACATCACTACTTTCTGTTGCTTTTGCTTTAATTAAGCACAGTTATTTTTGTAAATATGTAATTGAATTTTGCCCACAACTCAGTGAAGGTTGCAATAAATAATTTTTTGGTAACGGGACATTGTTTCATCTGACTCCTACTTCGTCCATTTGGGCCAGCTTCCCCACAATAATCTTTACATATTTATATTTTAAATGTTCATTAATGTGCTGCTGGCCCTTCACTAATAGATAAAAAAGAATAAGAAATCTACACTATTATGCAAACAATTTAGTTTCCTTTTTCATACAAACTGCTTTGCACTGGACTTTATGTGTATTTTTTTTTTTTTTTAATGCCATTATTCAATCAATCAATCAAACTTTATTTGTGTAGCACTTTTCACACAGTGTTTCATCCATATATACAACAAATTAAACAGAAACATAAAACAGAAACATAAAGCTCCTAAAGGTTCGAGTAAGAATAAAAATGCAGAGCAAAGATCAGATGGAGATTAAGTAAAATAGTAATGATAATTTAATGTAAAACAAATAATAACAATAAGTTAAAACAAGTAAAAGTGTCAATAAAAAGCTAAATTAAAAAGATTTTTGAGTTTTGAGTTTATTTTTTAAAATATGAAGAGACGTGGGCTGTAAAAGCTAAAAGACGCCTCACCGTGAGTTTTATTTTGGACTTTTGGGAGAGTTAAAAGACCTGAGGAGCTGAGAGTCCGAGAGGCTCATGTGATAAAAGCAGATCAGATAAATAAAAAGGACTAAGACCATCAAGAGTTTTATAAACCAATAAAAGAACTTTAAAATCTATCCTGAACCTCACAGCTCATTATTGTACTTGATTCGTTTATCTCTTTGTCAAGACCAGACATGTCAGACCCAGGGGCCAAATTTGGTCCATGATATAATTATATTTGGCCCGTGAGATCATTTCAAGTCTGTATTATGTTTCTCATTTCAGTTTCTGCAGCAGTGACCGAAAAAACCTTCAACAGACTTTAAAACTTAGTTCATTTTTACCTCGGTCGACTTTTCAAAACTCCATCCAGAGTTTTATGTGTCACCAGATTAGACGTCCTGGTTACAGACAGTGGTTATATACGAGTTATAACGAACAAGCAAATCCACCCACGACACGACACGGTGACGTTATACTTACGGTAAATACTGTAAACCACAGGTGTCAAACATGCGGCCCGGGGGCCAGATCCGGCCCTCCAAGACCTTTAATCTGCCCCTCTGCTGATTCTCTACTAAAATATTTTAATTCTATTTTTTATTAAAATATTGTACATTTTCTGCGATGCTGAGCACTGCAGTATCTCCAGCGTCTCTGTACGTGGCCCCTCCCACCAGAGCAGCACAAATGAAGACTTGTCTCTTTCCAAACGCTCTTAAAGGACGATCGTTTTGACTGTTGACCGTGACACCCTCATCAGAAAAATGTCCAACATGAGAAAAGTGGAGCCGACTGCAGGATTTACCTAGAAAAATGTACTTATTCCTATTTATACAAGTTCATGTTAAACAAGTTCATATTAAAACATTGTGTTGAAATTGTATTTTTCTTAAAGTTTCAGGTTGTTCATAATATTATAATATTTTGTAAAAGAAACAGTTCATCAGTTTAAAAAAAATTCTGTAATAGATTTGTGTTTCTCTGCACAAATATTTGAAGTTATTCTTATTATTTTTGGGGTTTATATGACATGAGTTTTCTGATCCGGACACTTTGGGATCAAAGTCGGTTGGATTCGGCCCCCGGAACAAAATGAGTTTGACTCTCCTGCTGTAAACAAACCAAGGTGTTGCCTGTAAACATGAACATGAATTGATGCTGAAGCTGCATTAAACTATAATGTGTAACATTTCATTGGCTGTGACGTCTGTAACAGGACAGTTTGGTCGTGTTTGGTGTAAACTGGGACATTTCAGCGTCCTGAGGAACTTTTGGTCACATTTCACCTGAGAAATGCAGCTGAGATGAAGGTTAAGACTGATGCTCACTGTGGCTGTAGCCGTGAATGTTTTAATCTAAACATACAGAAAACGCTGATATTTGTTAATTATCCCTGGGATAACGTTACGTCTGATGTTCACCAACTGGCTCCACTCTGTTTCTACTAAGATACAGGTGCAGTTTCCCGTTCAGACGAGGAGTTTCTACACAATATCACACAGCAGCGTTCGGTTCCTGAATTCAATGTGACAAGACAAGAAATTTTTACAATAGATTTTAATTAACCCACTTGTTGTTCTGTTGTAGCTCCTTGTTGTGTCATTACTCTGTTTTTACTCTCTGCTACAAACTTGAGCTCAATCGATGTTTCTGAATAATGTCTGTGAAGTGACGTATTTTTGACAGTAAAGTTCCGTCTGTGAATTCGTATTCGTACTGATGAAAGCGTAATCGTAAAGTTTCATTTGGTGATTGTAATTCTTGACGTCGTAACTTTCCAATTCGTCATAATTCTGATGGATAAAATACACACAATATATTTTATGTACGACTGGACTCAATTGAGAGTTTACAAATATTTATTTTATGCGCAACTACAGACAAATATGCACGGATTTCTATTCTATGCGCACAAATATTTTTGAAAACTTTCTTACTCCATATTTCAGGCTCTTTTCTCTAAAATAAATAATGGCTGTAGGTGAGTTTTTCATGTTGACCCCCAAATGTTCCACACAGTCCATCAGATGTTCACTCATGTCCTGCGCACTGCCCACATGAAATAAATAAATAAATATACAGACTAAATAAAATATTACATTTTTAAAACTCCTCTGGTGACACTTTTTACTCTTTCGTGGAATCCCTCGCTCAAAATCCCTGCATTCCCCACCCACGTGACCACCCCGTACCTCCTCCTCCCCTCCTCTCCGTGCGTAACCGTGCGTAACCGTGCCATACCTCCTCTCCTCTCCTCCCCGCGCTCCATCCATCCATCCGCGCTGCGCTCTCGCGTTCCGGGGGCATCTGTCCCTTTAAGAGCTTCATCCTGACAGCATCAGCATCAGCAGCAGCAGCAGCAGCAGCAGCAGCAGCCTCCTCTTCCTCTTCATCCTCCTCTTCCTCTGTCACGGACTCGGGCAGCTCCGTCCGTCCTCTCCGCGTAAACCTCCATCTTGACATCGACATTAATGCCTTTTCCCGCCGCGTCACCGTAGCTCTTTCTACCGCACCTCCTCCTCTTCCTCCTCTTCCTCCTTCCTCCTCCTCTTCCTCCCTCCTCTTTAGACCTGACCTCCTCCCCCCCCCTCCTCAAACATGGCCGAGTTGAATCTGGGCAAAGGTCTGACCGCGGGGAAAGTGGCCAGCAACGTGCAAAAGAAGCTCACCCGCGCGCAGGAAAAGGTAAGGTCACGACGTTTTTGCGCGCGTATCGTAAAAAAAAAATATATATATCGTAAGTGTGGCTTCGTACGTACGTAGTGACATGGTGGTGGTGGTGGTGGGGGGGGAGGAGGTAGGTTAGGGCCAGCGGTGGCGCATCCTCTACCCCGCTGTCCGCACGTCACGACGCCGTAATTCCACGAATTTTTTTGTTTGTTTGACAGCGACTCGTAAATGTGTTCGCCGTGGCACGTTGTCTTGTCATGTCGCTCTGGCCTGTTCGGTGTAGCGGTGACAGATGGCTTCTTTCCCCCCCCCCCCCCCCCACACACACACACACACACACACACATACACATACACACACACGTTCGGTGACGCAGAGCGGGGGGCGGATGTGGAGGGAGGTCATCGCTTCTAACCGTACCGTGACCAAAGGTTTCACGAGTGCGGGTGGGATTTTTTTTCGTGATTTTTTAGGACATGTTTAACGAGTACGGGTGCAGTGCGGCGATGCGGCGGACAGGGGGCGCTGTTCGTCTGTCATAATGCATCATGTGAAAAGTGAGAGTCCCGACGGAGCAGCGGCGGCGCGGGGCACGATGGGGATTCTGGGTCCATCGTGTGTTTTTTTTTTTTTTTGCTTGGTTAGTCGTATTTGGACGTAACGGTACTCGAGTAATTCCATGGAGCTTCTTTTCACAATTTGTGAAAAGTGGTTTGGTCTTTTTTGGTTTGGTCCTGGTTTTCTCCTTTTTGGTTCTGTTTGGTCCTGGTTTAGCTCTGGTTTGGTCCTGGTTTGTTTTTTGGTCCTGGTTTAGCTCTGGTTTGGGCTTTTTTGGTCTTAGTTTGGTCTTTTTTTTTTTTGTTTTTTTTGATTCTAATTTGGTCCTGGTTCAGTTCTGGTATAGTCTTGGTTTGATGTTTTTTGGTTTGGTCCTGGTTTAGTCCTGATTTGGTCTTTTTTGGTCCTGGTTTGGTCTCTTTTTATTCTACTTTGGTCCTGGTTTAGTTCTGGTTTGGTCCTGGTTTAGCTGTGGTTTGGTCTTTTTTGGTCCTGGCTTTAGTCTTTTTTTTGGGTTTTGTTTAGTTTTTTTGATTCTAATTTGGTCCTGGTTTAGTTCTGGTTTGGTCCTGGTTTGTTTTTTGGTTCTGGTTTAGTTCTGGTTTGGCCTTTTTTGGTTCTGGTTTAGTCCTGGTTTGGGCTTTTTTGGTCTTAGTTTGGTCTTTTTTTGTTTTGTTTTTTTTATTCTAATTTGGTCCTGGTTCAGTTCTGGTATAGTCTTGGTTTGATGTTTTTTGGCTTGGTCCTGGTTTGGTCCTGATTTGGTCTTTTTTGGTCCTGGTTTAGCTCTGGTTTGGGCTTTTTTGGTTCTGGTTTGGCCTTTTTTGGTCTTAGTTTGGTCTTTTTTTGTTTTGTTTTTTTTATTCTAATTTGGTCCTGGTTCAGTTCTGGTTTAGTCTTGGTTTGATGTTTTTTGGTTTGGTTCTGGTTTGGCCCGGATGTGGAGGGAGGTCATCGCTTCTAACCGTACCGTGACCAAAGGTTTCACGAGTGCGGGTGTTTTTTTTCGTGATTTTTTAGGACATGTTTAACGAGTACGGGTGCAGTGCGGCGATGCGGCGGACAGGGGGCGCTGTTCGTCTGTCATAATGCATCATGTGAAAAGTGAGAGTCCCGACGGAGCAGCGGCGGCGCGGGGCACGATGGGGATTCTGGGTCCATCGTGTGTGTTTTTTTGCTTGGTTGGTCGTATTTGGACGTAACGGTACTCGAGTAATTCCATGGAGCTTCTTTTCACAATTTGTGAAAAGTGGTTTATTCTTTTTTGGTCCTAGTTTAGTCCTGGTTTGGTCTTTTTTGGTCCTGGTTTAGTCCTGATTTGGTCTTTTTTGGTCCTGGTTTAGTCCTGGTTTGGTCTTTTTTGGTCCTGGTTTAGTCCTGGTTTGGTCTTTTTTGGTTCTGTTTGGTCCTGGTTTAGTCCTGGTTTGGTCTTTTTTGGTCCTGGTTTAGTCCTGGTTTGCTCTTTTTTGGTCCTGGTTTGGTCTTTTTTGGTTCTGGTTTAGTCCTGGTTTGGTCTTTTTTGGTCCTGGTTTAGTCCTGGTTTGGTCTTTTTTGGTCCTGGTTTGGTCCTGGTTTTAGTCCTGGTTTGGTCTTTTTTGGTCCTGGTTTAGCTCTGGTTTGGTCTTTTTTGGTCCTGGTTTAGTCCTGGTTTGGTCTTTTTTGGTTCTGTTTGGTCCTGGTTTAGTCCTGGTTTGGTCTTTTTTGGTCCTGGTTTAGTCCTGGTTTGGTCTTTTTTGGTCCTGGTTTAGTCCATGTTTACACGTTTCCGGCAATGAGTGGAATTACCGAAATAAAAAAAATATATAAATGTGTTTTTTTGTGTGTTATTGTCCCAACAACACACAAAAACAGATTTTATAATAAAGCAACTCACATACAGAAACAGTAAAGTTAGAGATTAAAAATGAGATTAACGCGATTAAAAAACATAAAGCGCTAAATATTACTGTAATTAATTAATCTCAATTAACGCGATAATTTGACACCCCTAAAAATAACGTTCACAAGAGTCCAGTTTGTATCATATTAAACCTTAGAAAGTCGTTTGTCGTTTTGCCTCAGATCCTTCAGAGCCGATTACACAGACGACATCCAGCTGTCCTCTGCGTTAGAGCCAGACGCACGCAGGCTCGCAGGTGCGTACGGTTACCACGGTTACCACACACACACACACCGACCAATGGGAGCGGCCGAGCCCGGACACGCCCCTCGCCGCACAAACACGTCTCATGTTCCGCCGCCGACCGACAAAAGCCTCTGACGTGTTTGTGTTTGGTGAGTAAACAGAGGCTTCGACAGTGATCGAACTCAAGGCCGCGGGGTTAAAACGACGTAACAAAAACGGAAATATCGTACGGCCCAAAGTCTGACGAAAACACCGAGGGATGTCACAGGTAAATCCAGTTAAAAGATCATTTGTTTTACAGTAAAGAGAAAGTCACTTTTAAAATGTATTCCCCTACAGATTACAGATTACAGATTACAGATTACAGATTACATACCCCCGGTTTAGTCCTGATGTGGTCTTTTTTGATCCTGGTTTAGCTCTGGTTTGGATTCTTTTGGTCCTGGTTTGGTCTTTTTTGGTTTGGTCCTGGTTTAGTCCTGGTTTGCTCTTTTTTTGGTCCTGATTTAGTCCTGGTTTGGTCTTTTTTGGTCCTGGTTTACTCCTGGTTTGGTCTTTTTTGGTTTGGTCCTGGTTTAGTCCTGGTTTAGTCTTTTTTGGTCCTGTTTGGTCCTGGTTTAGCTCTGGTTTGGTCTTTTTTGGTCCTGGTTTGGTCCTGGTTTGGTCTTTTTTGGTTTAGTCCTGGTTTGGTCTTTTTTGATTTAGTTCTGGTTTGGTCTTTTTTGGTTTGGTCCTGTTTGGTCCTGGTTCAGCTCCGGTTGGATCTTTTTTGGTCCTGGTTTAGTTCTATTTTAGTCCTGGTTTGGTCTTTTTTTGGTCCTGGTTTAGTCCTGGTTTAGTCTTTTTTGGTCCTGGTTTAGCTCTGGTTTGGTCTTTTTTTTGGTCCTGGTTTAGTCCTGGTTTGGTCTTTTTTTGGTCCTGGTTTAGTTCTGATTTAGTCCTGGTTTGGTCTTTTTTTGGTCCTGGTTTTAGTCCTGGTTTGGTCTTTTGGTCCTGGTTTAGTCTGGTTTGTCTTTTTTGGTCCTGGTTTAGTCCTGGTTTGGTCTTTTTTTGGTCCTGGTTTAGTCCTGGTTTGGTCTTTTTTTTTGGTCCTGGTTTAGTCCTGGTTTGGTCTTTTTTTGGTCCTGGTTTAGTTCTGATTTAGTCCTGGTTTGGTCTTTTTTTTGGTCCTGGTTTAGTCCTGGTTTGGTCTTTTTTGGTCCTGGTTTACTCCTGGTTTGGTCTTTTTTGGTTTGGTCCTGGTTTAGTCCTGGTTTAGTCTTTTTTGGTCCTGTTTGGTCCTGGTTTAGCTCTGGTTTGGTCTTTTTTGGTCCTGGTTTGGTCCTGGTTTGGTCTTTTTTGTTAGTCCTGGTTTGGTCTTTTTTGATTTAGTTCTGGTTTGGTCTTTTTTGGTTTGGTCCTGTTTGGTCCTGGTTCAGCTCCGGTTGGATCTTTTTTGGTCCTGGTTTAGTTCTAGTTTAGTCCTGGTTTGGTCTTTTTTTGGTCCTGGTTTAGTCTTTTTTGGTCCTGGTTTAGCTCTGGTTTGGTCTTTTTTGGTCCTGGTTTAGTCCTGGTTTGGTCTTTTTTTGGTCCTGGTTTGGTCTTTTTTGGTTTGGTCCTGGTTTAGTCCTGGTTTGGTCTTTTTTGGTCCTGGTTTGGTCTCTTTTTTGGTTCTGCTTTAGTCCTGGTTTGGTCCTGTTTGGTCCTGGTTTAGTCCTGGTTTGGTCTTTTTTGGTTCTGGTTTGGTCCTGGTTTAGTTCTGATTTGGTCTTTTAAGGTTTGGTCCTGATTTAGTCCTGGTTTGATCTTTTTTTTTTGGTCCTGGTTTAGTCCTGGTTTGGTCTTTTTTGGTTTTGGTCCTGGTTTAGTCCTGGTTTGGTCTTTTTTGGTTTAGTCCTGGTTTGGTCTTTTTTGGTCCTGGTTTAGTCCTGGTTTGGTCTTTTTTTGGTCCTGGTTTAGTCCTGGTTTGGTCTTTTTTTTGGTCCTGGTTTAGTCCTGGTTTGGTCTTTTTTTGGTCCTGGTTTAGTCCTGGTTTGGTCTTTTTTTTGGTCCTGGTTTAGTCCTGGTTTGGTCTTTTTTGGTTTAGTCCTGGTTTGGTCTTTTTTGGTTTAGTTCTGATTTGGTCTTTTAAGGTTTGGTCCTGATTTAGTCCTGGTTTGATCTTTTTTGGTTTGGTCCTGGTTTAGTCCTGGTTTGGTCTTTTTTGGTTTGGTCCTGGTTTAGTCCTGGTTTGGTCTTTTTTGGTTTAGTCCTGGTTTGGTCTTTTTTGGTCCTGGTTTAGTCCTGGTTTGGTCTTTTTTTTTTGGTCCTGGTTTAGTCCTGGTTTGGTCTTTTTTTTGGTCCTGGTTTAGTCCTGGTTTGGTCTTTTTTTGGTCCTGGTTTGGCCCTGGTTTAGTCCTGATCTGGTCTTTTTTTTTTCTTCTTTTTTTTTTGAGTCAATAATTGCGTATAATAAATCCTCCCCCTCAGAATAATCTCAACTCTATAATTCTATATTTTACTTTCAAACACACCTCAGATTTTCTCAAACATTTTCTGTTTCCTGTTGTATTTTTCCAGCTCGTTCTGACTCTGGTACAAAGACGAGCTGCAGTCACACCACAAGTGTTAAAATTATCATCGAGATTTCACTTCTGTCACAAGCGACGGCGCAAAATAAAAGTCTGGAGAAAAGACTGACAAAAGTAGAGAGAGAAAACGTGAAAAAAGAAAAATGATGTAGTGAGATTTTCATTTACATTTGAATTGGACAAAAAAGGTTTAAGTATCACTGAGCGACATCTCTAAAAAGTGTAAAATGGAAACAAAAATATGAAATCAAAGAAATAAGAAATTGTGAGGCCAAAAAAGTCTCAAGTCTCAAAAAACGTCAGTGTCTTTTATTTGTTTTTCAGTTCAAAATCATCAAGTCTCAATGAAAAATAGTCTCAGTCTCAAACGTCTCAAAAAAAAAAAAAAAAAAACAACTATTTTCTTTATTTGTCTCCAAAACCAAAATGAAAAAAACAGACTAAACCAGGACTAAACCAGCCTCAGTCCTGGTTCAGTTCTGGTTCAGTCCTGTTTTAGACCTGGTTCAGTCCTGATTTAGTCCGTCATCGCAGTTTAAGTCACGTAAACGGGATTATCTGTTTTTTAACGTTTTTCATTTAACCACAAAATCGAAAACTGAAAAAACAAATCATTTTCTGTTTTTTTTTCTTTTTTTTCATTTTGGTTTTGGAGACAAATAATGAAGATAGTTATTTTTTTCATTTTCTTATTTTTTGTTTTATCTTGAAAAACGAATTAACAAATGAACGACTTCCAAAACTGGAAACTAAATCATAAAATAAATATATATTATGAATTATCTTAAAGTCTTGTTTTGTTTTCGTGGACTCAGTCTCGTTTCTCGTCTCGTTTTGTATCATGTTATAATTCTATTTTTTTATTTTCCAGGTTCTCCAAAAACTTGGCAAGGCCGATGAGACCAAAGACGAAGCGTTCGAGGAGTGGGTGATCAACTTCAACAAACAATATGTGAGTAACTCTGCCCCTCCCCCTTTAGTCTGGACCAATCAGAGCACAGTGTCACCTGCGGGCTTCAGACCAGGACTGTCCAGAGTCCAGAGTCCAGTCCAGAGTCCAGAGTCCAGTCCAGAGGCCAGTCCAGAGTCCAGAGTCCAGAGTCCAGAGTCCAGAGAGTCCAGTCCAGAGTCCAGAGTCCAGAGTCCAGAGTCCAGTCCAGTCCAGAGTCCAGAGTCCAGTCCAGAGTCCAGAGTCCAGTCCAGTCCAGTCCAGTCCAGAGTCCAGAGTCCAGTCCAGAGTCCAGAGTCCAGAGTCCAGAGTCCAGAGTCCAGTCCAGAGTCCAATCCAGAGTCCAGTCCAGAGTCCAGAGTCCAGTCCAGAGTCCAATCCAGAGTCCAGAGTCCAGTCCAGAGTCCAGTCCAGAGTCCAATCCAAAGTCCAGACTCCAGGGTCCAGTCCAGAGTCCAGTCCAGAGTCCAGTCCAGATTCCAGAGTCCAGTCCAGAGTCCAGTCCAAAGTCCAGAGTCCAGAGTCCAGATCCAGAGTCCAGAGTCCAATCCAGAGTCCAGAGTCCAGTCCAGAGTCCAGTCCAGAGTCCAGAGTCCAGTCCAGAGTCCAGTCAGAGTCCAGAGTCCAGAGTCCAGTCCAGAGTCCAGTCAGAGTCCAGTCCAGAGTCCAGTCCAGAGTCCAGTCCAGAGTCCAGTCCAGAGTCAGTCCAGAGTCCAGAGTCCAAGTCCAGAGTCCAGAGTCCAGTCCAGAGTCCAGAGTCAGTCCAGAGTCCAGTCCAGAGTCCAGCCCAGAGTCCAGTCCAGAGTCCAGAGTCCAGAGTCCAGAGTCCAGAGTCCAGAGTCCAGAGTCCAGTCCAGAGTCCAGAGTCCAGTCCAGAGTCCAGAGTCCAGCCCAGAGTCCAATCCAGAGTCCAGTTCAGAGTCCAGAGTCCATAGTCCAGTCCAGAGTCCAGTCCACAGTCCAGAGTCCAGAGTCCAGAGTCAGTTCAGAGTCCAGTCCAGAGTCCAGAGTCCAGTCCAGAGTCCAGTCCAGTCCAGAGAGTCCAGAGTCCAGAGTCCAGTCCAGAGTCCAGAGTCCAGTCCAGAGTCCAATCCAGACTCCAGTCCAGGGTCAGTCCAGCCTCCAGTCCAGAGTCCAGTCCAGAGTCCAGTCCAGAGTCCAGTCCAGAGCCAGTCCAGAGTCCAGAGTCCAGTCCAGAGTCCAGTCCAGAGTCCAGAGTCAGTCCAGTCCAGTCCAGTCCAGTCCAGTCCAGTCCAGTCCAGTCCAGAGTCCAGTCCAGAGTCCAGTCCAGAGTCCAGTCCAGTCCAGTCCAGTCCAGAGTCCAGTCCAGAGTCCAGTCCAGAGTCCAGTCCAGGTCACTGCTCACGTTACAGCCCCAGAGACAAATGTGTCACAAAACTATAAACTGGATAAACAAGTGGCCCACAGCCTTCAGCTCCAGTCAAATGAGGCTCATCGAGGACGGCAGTTACAGGAGGGAATTTGGAGCCAGTTCCACTTCAGGAAAAGAAAAGTAAAGTAAAGATAAGATAAGATGGCATGTCCAAACTATGGCCCGTGAGCCCAAATGCGGCCGTCAGACAAATTTTTCTCGGCCCTCGGGTTTTCAGGAGAATTGGCCCCAAATTACCTTGCTTCAATGAAAAATTTACTTTTTATTGCAAGTTTTTTTGAAAATGTAAATTGATAAAGCCAATATTTAATACATAGTGTGTGTTTTTGAGGATCTTAGCGTGAATAAAGGACTTGATGTTTCATTCTAACGGGTTAAACCTGAACATATTTCGATTATTCACTGTATTTAGCACCGGACTAAGACCCTCGATCTGCTTCATCTGTGTTTCGATATGTGGCCGTTTGCAGTGTTGGGAAGTTTAATTTTAAAATGTAATCCCCTACAGATTACAGATTACACACCTCAAAATGTAGTTTGTAACGTAATCCATAAAGTTATTTAAATTGAGTAACGTAAACTGAATACTTTGGATTACTTGATTTGCTGTAGAGAAGCAAAGACGAGGATGGTTTAGACCTGGTTTTAGACCTGGTTTAGTCCTGGTTTAGACCTGGTTTTAGACCTGTTTTAGATCTAGTTTAGATCTGGTTTAGAACTGGTTTAGACCTGGTCTTAGTCCTGGTTTAGACACCTGGTTTTTAGACCTGTTTTAGACCTGTTTTAGACCTGGTTTAGATCTGGTTTAAAACTAGTTTAGACCTGGTCTTAGTCCTGGTTTAGACCTGGTTTAGACCTGTTTTAGACCTGGTTTTTGTCCTGGTTTAGACCTGGTTTTTGTCCTGGTTTAGATCTGGTTTAGACCTAGTTTTTGTCCTGTTTTAGACCTGTTTTTAGACCTGGTTTTAGATCTGGTTTAGAACTAGTTTAGACCTGGTTTAGTCCTGGTTTAGACCTGGTTTAGACCTGGTTTAGCCTAGTTTAGACCTGGTTTTAGTCCTGGTTTAGACCTGGTTTTAGACCTGGTTTAGTTTTAGACCTAGTTTTTGTCCTGGTTTAGACCTGGTTTAGATCTAGTTTAGACCTGGTTTAGTTTCCGGCCGTGAGTGGAATTATCGAAAAAAAAAAAAGAAAAAAGAAAAAAAAAGGAGGGGGATACAACCCAAAATGTAAAAACAGGAAAATCCCTCTGTGTAATCCATTTAATTCAACAAAGTAACTGTAATCCAATTACCGCTCACTGAAACAGTAACTGTAACTGAATACAGTTACTCATAATTTGTACTCTGATTACGTAACTCCAGTACATGTAATCTGTTACTTCCCGACACTGGCCGTTGATGAAAAGAGTTTGGACACCTCTGCCTTAAGCCTTTTACAATAATTTTTTACCTGCAGTGAGTTGAGCAGATTAACGACTCGCGGCGCAGAAGAATGTTTGAATCTGTTCAGTTTCATCAGCTCAAACTGACGGTGAAGAACACGGGTCGGGGTCACTGGGCTCCTTCCTGCCGCGCTTCATCACCGCCTCCTCAAAAATTTATGTTATTAGGTTCTTTTTCTCAGACCTGGAGTCTTATTTCATACCTGACAGTTTGGACTGCTCACCAGCGTCTTCCTCAGAGTCACGTGATGTTGCTGTGACGTGTCTGGTCAGCTGATTTAAAGGTTGTATAGAGGATTTTCCAAGGAACGAGAAATCCAGCGACTGTTTGTCCTTTTTCAAATGTTGCGCATGCGTGAAACCACCCCCCCCCCCTACAGCTCCTACGTAGAAACACCTCCTCCCTCCTCCTCCTTACGCCACAAACAGGTTTGTTTACAGCCGCTGCACATGACTTGTAAACAACTAACTACAGTGTTGGTTAGGACAAGAACGGAGAAGTGAGGAGCGGAGGAGAGGGGAGAGTGGATCGGGCAGCGGGGACAGGAGCAGGAAAGGGGTGCAGAGAAGGTTGCGCGGAGATTCAGTGCGAATGAACTAGCTACAACACGCAGCAGCAAGCGGACTCTTTCTTTGCCTTGAAAATTACGTTTTCAGACATAGGATATCGCTTTCGTGTCCTGAAAAACGTTTGTGGAGCTCTTGGAAATAAAGTACGTTTTCATAATAAGCAGAAGTTTCCTGTCCAGGAGTAATTTGTGGACCAGTGCGTCAGTCTTTAGACCCTTCGTCTGCTTCAGTCGCGCCATCGCTGGAATGAATCTCCAAGAATCACCTTAGTTTGGCTTCGCTGCTTTTCCCCTTGTCTTCTTCTTTCAGCGACCTCAAAAACGGACTTTCTTTTGCGGCGAACTGCTCCTGGATTCTTGTCGCCATTGCAACAAACTTTGTGCGAACTGCGAGGAAGATATAGGTCAAAAAAGCCGCTAAGAACTGTTGCGTTGGTGGAGTAAACAGCGTCTGTGCGTCTTGCGTCTGTGGACTGTGTGACAGTCGTACGTAAACCACGTACCGGCGGCGCAGGCAAGTCAGTTACGCTAGAAACGTAGGGAGTTTGATTGACAGCCTGTCAGCTCACAGATAACGAGGCAGTGTCGTTATCTATTGGCAAATGTTTAGCCCCACCACGTCCAGAGTTGATGAATTTTTATTCTCTTTTTTTTGGTCATCATAATTACAAGGCGACTGCATCTATAATCTATCACTGACAATTTGAAACAAAAAAAATCCTCCATACAACCTTTAAACAGGTTTTGGCGCTGTCTTCCTACCGGTGGAGGCAGGACGACAGCGCCACCTGCAGTCCCACTTCCTCAGGACAGTTTCCCAGGTGTGTGAGAGTAAAAAAGCCCCTCGTCCCGGTTTACAGTCCTGTGGGCACGTTTCCGTATTTCGATTGCTTAGGAGACAGAGGAAAACAAACATCGCCGCTGGATTAAAGAAGCAATCGAAATAGGAAAACGTGCCCACAGGACTGTAAACCAGGACGAGGGGCTTTTTTACTCTCACACACCCGGGAAACTGTCCTGAGGAAGTGGGACTGCAGGTGGCGCTGTCGTCCTGCCTCCACCGGTAGGAAGACAGCGCCAAAACCTGTTTAAATCAGCTGACCAGACACGACACAGCAACATCACGAGACTCTGAGGAAGACGCGAGCGAGCAGTCGAAACTGTCAGGTATGAAATAAAACTCTAGGTCTGAGAAAAAGAACCTAATAACATAGAAAATCTGAAGACCAAATGAATCTCATTGGACTATTATCCTCAAAAATGTACCGACGTGAGCTCGGGGCCACGCTTATTATTTTACCCGCTCTTTTAGTCTGTGATTTAAGTTTGACTGACAGGTTACCGAACCACGTTGTTAACAATAACGTAAAATAGAGTCCATGCATTCTCGGTAAAACGTCAACATTACATTTTTATCCACTTCATGTAATTTAAACCGTCTTAAAAAATAGAGACGTTGGCTGATTCTTGAGCAGACAGATTGTACATGCGGACAGTGTCGGGGAGTAACAGATTACATGTACTGGAGTTAAGTAATCAGAGTACAAATTTTGAGTAACTGTATTCAGTTACAGTTACTGTTTTAGTGAGTGGTAATTGGATTACAGTTACTTTGTTGAAATAAATGGATTACACAGAGGGATGTTCCTATTCTCACATTCTGGGCTAATATCCTTTTTTTTTTTCATTTTTTTTAGTAAATCCACTCATTGCTGGACACTAAACCAGGACTAAACCAGGACTAAACCAGGACTAAACCAGGTCTAAACCAGGACTAAACCAGGTCTAAACCAGGTCTAAACCAGGACTAAACCAGGACTAAACCAGGACTAAACCAGGTCTAAACCAGGTCTAAACCAGGACTAAAACCAGGTCTAAACCAGGACTAAACCAGGTCTAAACCAGGACTAAACCAGGTCTAAACCAGGACTAAACCAGGACTAAACCAGGTCTAAACCAGGACTAAACCAGGACTAAACCAGGTCTAAACCAGGTCTAAACCAGGACTTAAACCAGGTCTAAACCAGGACTAAACCAGGTCTAAACCAGGTCTAAACCAGGACTAAACCAGGTCTAAACCAGGACTAAACCAGGACTAAACCAGGTCTAAACCAGGTCTAAAACCAGGACTAAAACCAGGTCTAAACCAGGTCTAAAACCAGGACTAAACCAGGTCTAAACCAGGACTAAACCAGGACTAAACCAGGTCTAAACCAGGTCTAAACCAGGTCTAAAACCAGGTCTAAACCAGGTCTAAACCAGGACTAAAACCAGGTCTAAACCAGGTCTAAACCAGGACTAAACCAGGACTAAACCAGGACTAAACCAGGTCTAAACCAGGTCTAAACCAGGACTAAACCAGGTCTAAACCAGGACTAAACCAGGACTAAAACCAAGTCTAACCTAGATCTAAAACCAGGTCTAAACCAGGACTAAACCAGGACTAAAACCAGGTCTAAACCAGGACTAAACCAGGATTAAAACCAAAGTCTAAACCAGGACTAAACCAGGACTAAATCAGGATCTAAACCAGGAAACCAGGTCTAAACCAGGACTAAACCAGGTCTAAACCAGGACAAAACCAGGTCTAAAACCAGGTCTAAACCAGGACTAAACCAGGACTAAAACCAGGTCTAAACCAGGACTAAACCAGGTCTAAACCAGGACTAAACCAGGTCTAAAACCAGGACTAAACCAGTCTAAACCAGGACTAAAACCAGGACTAAAACCAGGTCTAAACCAGGATCTAAACCAGGACTAAACCAGGACTAAAACCAGGTCTAAAACCAGGACTAAACCAGGACTAAAACCAGGATTAAACCAGGACTAAACCAGGTCTAAAACCAGGTCTAAACTAGATCTAAACCAGGGCCAAACAGGATTTAACAGGACAAAACTATTCTCTCAGTAATATTTTTAATACGGTTCAGGAAAGTCTGGGCTTTTTATTTTATTTTTAAGTAATCCAAAGTATTCAGATTACATTACTCACTTTAAGTAATTTAATGGATTACGTTACAAACTACATTTTGGGATATGTAATCTGTAATCTGTAGGGGATTACATTTTAAAAGTAAACTTCCCAACACTGCATGCGGATCCATAGACGCATTAAGAATCTCGGACTTCTGGTCATCGCGTAATCCACACAGGGAAGGATTTTCCGAAAAAGTGAGCATCAAATTCCCGACAGATTTTTGGTCAAAATTCATCTCTTTTGTCTTAGAAATTTACGAATGGACAAAACGGCAAAAATAAAAACACCAGGATCAGGTAGAGCGGGTTAAAGGGAAAATCTTGTGTGAAATACTTTTACTTTTTACTCTTTACTTAAGTCGACGTTTTCTCGTGATACTTTTATTTTTACTCGTGTAATTCTTTGCTCCAGGATCTGTAACAAAAACTGATCACTTCTTTCACCACTGGTTGAAAAGCGACGACATGATCCACGGCTACGTTCAGACCGCAGGACTTAAAGGTTGTATGGAGGATTTTTTTTTGTTTCAAATTGTCAGTGATAGATTATAGATGCAGTCGCCTTGTAATTATGATGACCAAAAAAAAGAGAATAAAAATTCATCAACTCTGGACGTGGTGGGGCTAAACATTTGCCAATAGATAACGACACTGCCTCGTTATCTGTGAGCTGACAGGCTGTCAATCAAACTCCCTACGTTTCTAGTGTAACTGACTTGCCTGCGCCGCCGGTACGTGGTTTACGTACGACTGTCACACAGTCCACAGACGCAAGACGCACAGACGCTGTTTACTCCACCAACGCAACAGTTCTTAGTGGCTTTTTTTGACCTATATCTTCCTCGCAGTTCGCACAAAGTTTGTTGCAATGGCGACAAGAATCCAGGAGCAGTTCGCCGCAAAAGAAAGTCAGTTTTTGAGGTCGCTGAAAGAAGAAGACAAGGGGAAAAGCAGCGAAGCCAAACTAAGGTGATTCTTGGAGATTCATTCCAGCGATGGCGCGACTGAAGCAGACGAAGGGTCTAAAGACTGACGCACTGGTCCACAAATTACTCCTGGACAGGAAACTTCTGCTTATTATGAAAACTTACTTTATTTCCAAGAGCTAGACAAACGTTTTTCAGGACATGAAAGCGATGTCCTATGTCTGAAAACGTCATTTTCAATGCAAAGAAAGAGTCCACTTGCTGCTGCGTGTTGTAGCTAGTTCATTCGCACTGAATCTCCGCACAACCTTCTCTGCACCCCTTTCCTGCTCCTGTCCCCGCTGCCCGATCCGCTCTTCCCCCTGCTCCTCACTTCTCCGGGCACGGAATCTCCGTGCACCACCGCTCCCCTCTCCTCTCTCCTCTCTCCTCTTCTCCCTGCTCCTCACTTCTCGTCCGCGAACGAAATGTCCGCACACCCCCTCCCCCCGCTCCTCACTTCTCCGTCTTGCCTAACCAACACTGTAGTTAGTTGTTTACAAGTCATGTGCAGCGGCTGTAAACAAACCTGTTTGTGGCGTAAGGAGGAGGAGGGAGGAGGCGTTTCTACGTAGGAGCTGTAGGGGAGGGGAGGTGGTTTCACGCATGCGCAACATTTGAAAAAGGACAAACAGTCGCTGGATTTCGTTCCTTCCTCTATACAACCTTTAACGCTCAATTCAGATTTTTTTTGCGAGGTCGTTCACGTTTCCAGTTAAATGTGACCTGTATGTGATCTCCAGTGTGAACTTTAAACACGCCAAAAGTGTCCCGCATGAGCATCGGAGGAAACAACGACGTCACACTCAGCGAGCGTGTTCAGAGTTTACAGAAGTCGCCTAAACTCTGGGCTCGTTTCCCAAAATCTGGTCCAGTTGTTGGTAAAATGTTCAGGTTACACGTCCACGGCCGCTTCGTTTCTTTGAGTCTTTATCCTCCTTGTTTTTGTCTCGCAGGTTCTTTATTTTGACGTTGACGTTGGAGCCAGAACCGTCTGTAGTCGCGCTCGGACATTTCTTTGGCGATCGTTTCAAAAACCGCCCAGTTCCGATAAGACTCCTCCAATTTGTCCTGAACACATCGATCCCCCCAAATATGAATAAACCCTCTAACTTCATGACGAGACTCTGAGCCTGACGTGTAGGTGGGATGAATGTGACCTGACCGTTCAGACTGAAGTCGCATGTCAAAAGATCAAGATATGTATCGGTTTTAGGAGGAAATATCCAAGTGTCCTGGGTCACATTTGCGAAAAAATTGATCTGTGTCGTTCAGACTGTCATTAAAAGATCAGATACAGGAGCATAGGGGCGAAAAAAATCAGATTTGGGTCACTTCAGGCTGCAGTCTGAACGTTTGTCTAAGATACTTTTCTGTTTCCTCCGCAGGCAGAAGGCAGTAAACTCCAGCGGGACCTGCGGGCGTATCTGGAGGCAGTCAAAGGTAACTGACTGATAAGATTAGGGATGCACCGATAACAAAACTGGTATCTGTATTAGGGATGGGCATGATTAGTGGATTAATCGATAATTGATCATTAAGAATTTCATCGATTACGTTCATTTTTTAATCGACAAACCGAATGTAAGTTGCTGTACGTAGCGTAGGGAGACCAAACGTCCGTGTCCGGGGACAAACGGGTCTGTACATGTGTCTCTGCATCAGAAGGAGCGAGACACAAACAGTGGGTCAGTCTGTAACGAACCGAAGCACAAATGTGGATTTAATGATGATTTGTACAAGAAATTCCACACTTTTCGTTCCGGTCGGGACAAGTGTGAGTCCATGTGCACAGTGGATAAAGCAGCACATATGTTTCTGTGTCCAGTGGGAGAAAGTTTTTCCAGGTGAGAGTCGCTCAATGTGGATGACGAGGCCCCGCCCCCCTCCCCCCGTACGCTGTCCTGGTTTTGACAAACACAAATCTGGTCACACTGACCTGTATTCACCTGAGTCATGTCTTTTAATCCAACACAAGTTGAACCACATCAGCGACACAAGAGCTGGAGTTTTATCTTCACTTAGTTTATGTAAATTAGTGATGTGGTTTTAAGTTTTGTTTCTGTGAGATTTGAACAAAACTGAATTAAACACATTATAATGTCAAACAGCTGATGTGGCTCTAGAGTCGTTATGTTTATATGTCGTAAAGTTGAATTTATTTATGCAGATTAGTGCAGATAGTAATAATAATGATGATCATTTTAATATAAAAACTTTAATGATTAATCGATACTTCGATCGTTAATTCTTCCGACGATCGATTAAGAAAATTTAATCGAATGCCCGTCCCTAATCTGTATATGTGTAGATACTGACACCGATCCATGAAGTTTTGATAGATCGGGTATCGGCTCCAGAATATCGGTTCTGGTAATATCCTGGTTTTAATATATGTAATAACACGATTTACTGGCTGTAGAATGATGAAGTTGTTCTGTAGATATTTGAGACATAAACAACAGTTACATAACACATTTTTGTTTTTAGGAAAATAAAGTATATTTTTAGTCTAAGCACTGATATTGATTGATCTCGGGTATTGAAAAATACTTAAAGCCGCTGTATCAGAATCGATATCGGAGCTGAACAAGCTGGAACAGTGTGCTCCAAAAGTTACACAATGCTCCTGTAATGATGTTCTGATGTTCTCCTGATCTTGTTCCACAGCCATGCACGAGTCCTCCAAGAACATCCAGTCGTGTCTGGCAGACATGTACGAGCCCGAGTGGAAGGGACACAGGAAGGTGGACTCCATCGTGGAGGTGAGACACTGGGAAAACTGTCTTTTTATACTTGTATTTTAGATTTCTACAAATGTGTTCTGAAACGCACGGGATTTTGGTGTTACCGTATTTTCCGGGCTATAAGTCGCTCCGGAGTATAAGTCACACCAGCCAAAAAATGCATAATGAAGAAAAAAAACATATATAAGGCTACGTTCAGACTGCAGGGCTTAACGCTCAATTCCGATTTTTATTGTGAAATCCGATGTTTTTTCGAGGTCGTTCACATTTCCAGTTAAATGTGACTTGTATGTGACTCCAGTGTGAACATTAAACGGCCCGAAAGTGTCCCACATGTGACACTGGAGACACGACGACGTCAACCGCAGCGAGCGTCTCTGTGTTTACGGAAGTTGTCCAAACATGGACGCAGCATCGAGCACCTGGAGATTTTAAAGTTCCTCTCGTACCGGAGCCAGAACATGAACAACTTACTTGTTTTAAGGAGGAGATTGAGAAGGAGAAGGACGAGGTTTTTGGTCGTGGTGTTTTGTGGGTTCAGACGTTGAAAGGAACGTGTGGATGTGGAGTTCATTAACAATTTTCACCTACTTCAGCGCAGAATAGTGACGTTTGTTGCTTATTGAACGTGTAGGTGGATGAATGCACTTTGACCAGACTGAAGTCACATGTCAAAAGATCAGATATGTATCGGTTTCAGGAGCACATATCCAAGTGTCCTGGGTCACATTTGAAAAAATCTGATCTGTGTCGTTCAGACTGTCAATAAAAGATCAGATACAGGAACATAGAGGCCAAAAAATCGGATTTGGGTCACTTCAGGCTGCAGTCTGAACGCAGCCTTATATTCCAAAAAATACGGTAGTTTGTCAGTTCAGATGTTCAGTCTTCTCGATGCAAACGCTCCTGGAGTTGTTTATAACGTCCACAGTGAACAGCAACTTTTACAAAGGCAGTTTCAAATAGACAGACTGGAGCCAAACTTTAACAGACGAGTGATGATGCAGTAAATCCTTTATTGAGTAGATGAATACACTCTGTTTATGTTTTTCAACTCTATTAAAGGACTGATTCATGGTATGATGTTGTTTCCTCGTCACAAACAGACCTGGAGTTGTGTTTTGTTTCATTCACACATGTTTAACGCACAAACCCTGCAGATTTAGGCTGAGTTCTTCACGGTGGAGCAGAGAATTTGAGCTTTGGAGATGTAGACAGACTAATAACAAAATAATAAAAGGTTAGTTACTCAGACATGTGAATGAAACAAAACACAGGTCCAGGTCTGTTTTTGAGGAGGAAACATATTATAACACAACTTAAAGCTCAAAAGAGTCAGTTTTGTGTAATATCCTGTTGTGAACCTGTGATCGTGTCTGTGTTTTCTGCAGGACTGTGACGTGCTCTGGGAGGACTACCACCAGAAGCTGGTGGACCACGCCCTCATCTCCATGGACACTTACCTGGGACAGTTCCCTGACATCAAGGTAAACACGCGCCCCCTGCTGGTTAAAAGCTGCAAGCTTTGCAACATTCAATAATTTCCAAATTTTCCAACCAGGACTAAACCAAATCTAAACTAGGACTACATCAGGTCTAAACCAGGACCACACCAGGACTAAACCAGGACTTAACCAGGTCTAAACCAGGTTTAAACCACATCTAAACCAGCTCTAAACCAGATCTAAACCAGGTCTAAACCAGGTCTAAACCAGGTCTAAACCAGGTCTAAACCAAGTCTAAACCAGGCCTGAACCAGGACTATATCAGGACTATTCTTGGACTTAAGAGAGAGAGGGAGAACCACGAACCCGCGGAGCAGGGTGTCCGCAAAGAGCGATGACCCTTTCTCCTGCGGTCTCCCGACAGTCCCGTCTCGACACTCAGTCCTAGTTCATTTCTGGTTTAGTCCTGTTTTAGTCCTAGTTCAGTCCTGGTTTAGTCCTCTTGGTTCAATCCTGGGATCAGTCCTGGTTTTGTCCGTGTGTGTCACGGCTCCTCAGTGGCTCTTTGGCCCCCCCCCCCCCCCAGGGGACTCAGGCCTCACTTATTGAAAACCTCTGTCCTACATGATTCTTTTCTGTCACTGTGTCCCTCAAGGATCAGTGTTAGGTCCTCTTCTGTTTATTCTGTTATCAGGAGATGTGGCAGCAGCCGGAAAAACACAGTCATTGGTGTAACAAATGTTCATAAGCAATTTTCTGTAAAATATAAGCATTGTAGTCTATTATTATGCGTTAATACTTGTTATAATAAAACGTACCAGGGGGTTGGATTAAAACAACGAAATTTAAATCACAACTGTCCCCGAGGAAATGTCACAGGACCAACCTTTTGCCTTATTGTCCTTAATATCAGAGCTGATGAGATGGAACCAGGCAGCTCGGAATGTTCTGTTTGTTCCTCAGGTTAAAACACAAAGTAAAAATGACAGCAACAGCAAAACATAAACCTTGATTAAAAAAAAAAAAAAAAAAAAAAAAAAAAAGACATCTATGAATGTGTGAGTGAATCTGTGAGTGGTTCCTTAAAGGTGGAAAAGCACTACATAAAAAAATACCGTTTACCGTATTCAAGTATCAAGTGTCTTCATTCTCTTGAGTTTTTTTATTTTATTTTTTTGTGCAGGCTCGTATTGCCAAAAGAGACAGAAAGCTGGTGGACTATGACAGTGCCAGACATAACTACGCTGCCACACACAAGACCAAGAAAAAGGACGGGGGCATCAAACTCACCAAGGTAAGAGTCTGGAATTTAACGGAAAACTCCATGCACACTACCGGTCAAAAGTTTTAGAACACCACACCTTTTCCAGTTTTTTACCGTTTACTGTCGACCAAAATGTATTCTAAACTTTTGATTGATGAAAATGTCGACCTTTGTCAGATAGAACAGCTGAACACACTCGTGGCTCGTTCTTTTTACGACAGAAATCAAATATTGTTCAGAAAGTTCTTCCCAAGTCTGTCGCAGAAGTTTCCAAAAATGTGTGGCACTTGTCGGTTGCTTCACTCTTCAGTCCATCCCAAATCAGCTCGATGGGGTTTGAAGGTTGCATGGAGCATTTTTTTTAAGGGAAGAGAAATACAGCGAGAGTCCTTTTTTCAAATGTTGTGCATGTGTGACACCACCTTCCTCCTCCACCGCTCCTCAGTAGAAACACTTGTTTACATCCAGCGCGTGTTCAGAATCACTGTTGAAGTTTCCTGTCTGGAAATAATTTATCGACCGACGCGTCTTCAGTTTTTAGACCCTTCGTCTGCTTCAGTCGCGCCATCGCTGGAACAAATCTCCAAGAATCACCTCAGTTTGTCTTCGCTCCTTTTCCCCTTCTCTTCTTCTTTTGGCGACCTCAAAAAACGACTTTCTTTTGCGGCGAACCGGTCGTGGATTCTCATCCAACATCACAACAAACTTTGTGCGAATTGCGAGGAAGCGACAGTTTGAAAAAGCCTCTAAGAACCGCTGCGTAAACCACGTAATCCCCGAGCGCCGACGAGTCAGTTACACTAGAAACGTAGGGAGTTTGATTGACAACCTAACAGCCAATAGAAAATGAGGGAGCCTTGTTTTCTATTGGCTGATGTTTATCTGGCCTCACTACATCCACAGTTGATGGATTTTCATTCTTTTTTTTTTGTTCATCATAATTACAAAGCTGCTGTGTCTCTGTAATGGTATTTTTAGCTTTCATTGACAATTTGAAACAAAAACAAAAAAATCCTCTATACAACCTTTAAGTCTGGACACTGTGCTGCTGGACACTCCAGGTTTTCAAGCTTCCCCATCTTGTTTTTTTTTTCCTGAGGTCGTTTTGGCAGAGCTTGGACTTGTGTTTTGTATTTTTTTAAGGTTTTTTTTTTAAACTCTGTCTCTTCAGTTTTTACCTTTGGACCATTTCAAGCTCTTCATTGAACTTGCACGACTTGAATTGCAATAAATAACCGGAAAGATTTGGGTGTTCTAAAACTTTTGACTTAAACTTTCAGGAGGTAACAGCTTTAAACATCACAAGAATAATTTTTGTGTAAATAGAACCGTTAATATCTGATCCAGTGGGACAAGATCTCTGTCACTTTCTTGGCTCAGTTCTAATGAGATTTCTGAGGCTGTTCTGTTTCCTGCATAATCACATAAAACTCCCTCCTTCCTTCCTCTCTCTCTCAGCCATCCACCCTCCTGGAGAGAGCCACCCCCGGCTGGGCTCAGGGCATCCTGTCTGCCCACAACGTGGCCCAGAGCAGCCTGTCCAGGAGCCAGGTACCACTGCCTCACGTCACAATAAACATAAATATAAATATACATGTACAAGGACTGTCTGGGAGCCACGTCTTCAGAGATCATCTGTGGATCATTTCACTTTGTGAGGTGGAGAAGAGTAATTAGATTCTACTGGTAGAAAATAAAGTGTGACTGTAGGTGTATTTCATGACAGTACGAGTGCAGTTTAAGATGAGAAGGGTTGGATTACATGTTATTACTTTGTACCAGGGGCGTGTCCAGACATTTTCAGTGGGGTGCCCAAAGTAATTGTTGCCCCTCCCGTGCTCGAGAGGAGTGTGAAGGTAAACCCTGGAAAAGGAATACAAGGGACAGATGATTTGCCTTTTGCATCTCAGGACTGCAGGGTTTATTCTGCCAGAACACATAATTTCTAATAAATGTTGCTACACAAACTCAATTTTACAACATTTCCATTGCATCTTACAGTACTCGCAAAACTTATTGATACATGTTTAAAGCTTTACATTTATACATTCATTAATAACCCAAAAAATTGAACCATTTAAATCTAATTAATTACTAATTATGTAACTAACTTAGCTGCAACAACTTCACATGGCGACCAGCTCGTGACGTCAACAGTTACACTGGCGCTGCACTTGCACATGAACTGCAACTTTAACATGTACATCCTGTGCTGAAGCTTTACAGAAATGTACAAAGTAAAAGCTTAGACAAGTTTATGAACAGCTCATAATAATGAAGTCAAAATACACCCACGCTGTCTCCACACGGCTGCATCTTTACAACCAGTGTTCACATTTACACAGGTACATATTAGCGGTTTTATCTCAACACTGTACTGTTTGGGTGTGACACAAATTACTTTTTACCAACCTGGAAAAGGAATAAAAGGGACAGATGATTTGTCTTTCGCATCTCAGGACTGCAGGGTTTATTCGGCAGCGCTGTCCCTTGGATTCCTAACTCCTTCTACCGGTGCGCCCCCTAGCGGCACTCCACAGACGATATCATATTTCAAAAAAAAGAAAAAAATAGAGGGTGTCTGTTTTTTAATTACTGACATTAATAGAGAAAATGCATTACTTCATTTTAGTTGTTTTAGCCCTTTTAACACATTACTATGAGCCTTATATAATAATGTTAAGTAAGTTAAAATGTAACTATTCACATGCAATTTTTAATATTAATAATTATAAATATGTTTCCTCTTTTTTATTAAAATGTGGGGCAATATTGTTTTTTTTTTAATTGTTTTTTTTTAAAGTAACATTAAACAAAAAAAAAGAAAAGAAAGAAAATGTAAACAAGTGTGTGTGTTAGTTTCAGAGTAGTTTCAGTGGAGTTAGCTCCTCCCCTTTCAGGCAGATATAAGGATGCGCCCACCAGCTTCCAGAACTGAAGAAACAGCTTCGACCAAGTAAACTTTTGTCCAGTTGATAAATTGAATTTCTCCTTTGGCCATTAAACAAAAATGACCCACAATATCCTGCCTCAGCCGCACAGACTGGAGCAGCTGCAGTGTCCAGTCAGGTTTAAGGTTTGGTCTGTGCCCCAACAGGCCAGTCCCTCCAACAGCCCTGTGCTGAGGAAGGTACCTCGAAATCATGGGGAGTATAAAAAGTGTTAACAAAGTGTGTGTGTGTTGTGTCTCTGTGTGTGTGTGTTGTGTCTGTGTGTGTGTTGTGTCTGTGTGTGTGTGTGTGCTGTGTGTGTGTGTTGTGTCTGTGTGTGTGTGTGTGTGTGTGTGTGTGTGTGTGTGTGTGTGTGTGTGTCTGTGTGTGTGTGTGTGTGTGTGTGTGTGTGTGTGTGTGTGTGTGTGTGTGTGTGTGTGTGTGTGTCTGTATGTGTGTGTGTCTGTGTGTGTGTGTGTGTGTGTGTGTGTGTGTGTGTGTGTGTGTGTGTGTGTGTGTGTGTGTGTGTGTGTGTGTGTGTGTGTGTGTGTGTGTGTGTGTGTCTGTGTGTGTGTGTGTGTGTCTGTATGTGTGTGTGTGTGTGTGTGTGTGTGTGTGTGTGTGTGTGTGTGTGTGTGTGTGTGTGTGTGTGTGTGTGTGTGTGTCTGTGTGTGTGTGTGTGTGTGTGTGTGTGTGTGTGTGTGTGTGTGTGTGTGTGTGTGTGTGTGTGTGTGTGTGTGTGTGTGTGTGTGTGTGTCTGTGTGTGTGTGTGTGTGTGTGTGTGTGTGTGTGTGTGTGTGTGTGTGTGTGTGTGTGTGTGTGTGTGTGTGTGTGTGTGTGTGTGTGTGTGTGTGTGTGTGTGTGTGTGTGTGTGTGTGTGTGTGTGTGTGTGTGTGTGTGTGTGTGTGTGTGTGTGTGTGTGTGTGTGTGTGTGTTGTGTCTGTGTGTGTGTGTGTGTGTGTGTGTGTGTGTGTGTGTGTGTGTGTGTGTGTGTGTGTGTGTGTGTGTGTGTGTGTGTGTGTGTGTGTGTGTGTGTGTGTGTGTGTGTGTGTGTGTGTGTGTGTGTGTGTGTGTGTGTGTGTGTGTGTGTGTGTGTGTGTGTGTGTGTGTGTGTGTGTCTGTGTGTGTGTGTGTGTGTGTGTGTGTGTGTGTGTGTGTGTGTGTGTGTGTGTGTGTGTGTGTGTGTGTGTGTGTGTGTGTGTGTGTGTGTGTGTGTGTGTGTGTGTGTGTGTGTGTGTGTGTGTGTGTGTGTGTGTGTGTGTGTGTGTGTGTGTGTGTGTGTGTGTGTGTGTGTGTGTGTGTGTGTCGTGTGTGTGTGTGTGTGTGTGTGTGTGTGTGTGTGTGTGTGTGTGTGTGTGTGTGTGTGTGTGTGTGTGTGTGTGTGTGTGTGTGTGTGTGTGTGTGTGTGTGTCTGTGTGTGTGTGTGTGTGTGTGTGTGTGTGTGTGTGTGTGTGTGTGTGTGTGTGTGTGTGTGTTTGTGCTTCAGGCTGAGGAGGAGCTGGAAAGAGCCCAGAAGGTGTTTGAGGAGATCAACCTGGACCTGCAGGAGGAGCTTCCTTCCCTCTGGAACAGGTTTGTGACTCTTCTTCTACAAGACGTGTGTTTGTTTCCATGTTTCAGAATTCATGTTGGAGTTTGTCATCTGCAGTTTTGGTCAGAAACAAAAGAAAAGGAATGTGTTAAAACAGAGTTCAGTTTGACTTAAAACATCTTTTGACCAGAAAAAATAAATGAGATGTTTTAATCTGTGGATCAGTCATTCAGTTGTTTTTCAAAGTAAAACCAAAAATAAAAAAACAACAACGAAAAAACAACTATTTTTTTCATTATTTGTCTCCAAAAAAAAAAAAAAAAAAAAAAAAACAGATAATGATTTTCTAAACCAGACCTGAACCAGGACTGAACCAGGACTAAACCAGGTCTAAACCAGGGCTAAAACAGGTCTAAACCAGGACTAAAACAGGTCTAAACCAGAACTCTAAACCAGGACTAAAACAGGTCTAAACCAGAACTGAACCAGGTCTAAACCAGGACTAAAACAGGTCTAAACCAGAACTGAACCAGGTCTAAACCAGGACTAACCCAGGTCTAAACCAGAACTGAACCAGGACTAAGCCAGGACTAAACCAGTCTCAGTCCTGGTTTCAGTCCCGGTCAGACCCGACAGTCTATGCGGGCGCACTTTCGGGCCTGTCCCGACACTCAATCCTGGTTCGGTTCTGGTTTAGTCCAGGTTTCATTATCCGTTTTTCATTTTGGTTTTGGAGACAAATAATTAAGAAAATTATTGCTTTTTAAAATTTTCTTATTTTTGGTTTTATTTTGAAAAACAAATGAACAAATGATACACGGATTTGTTTTTACTTACATTTTTATCAAAACATTAAAACTTTATTCTTAATTTCTCTGATGCGTCCCTTGCATCCTGATGATATAAATGCATTTCACAGCTTTCAGAGACAAGAGCAGAGCTTTGCCATCACGGTAATACTTGCAACAACTAGCATGCTAACAGCACACTTCTGAAAAAGGAGAATAAAATGCTTATAATTAGATGCATCCACTTTAAGCTTTAGAAAACAATATGACAATAATGAGGGAATGTACAATGGAAAAAACAACTTCAGATTGTTATTCCACCACTTTATGAATGGTTTTTTTTTTTGCTTTTTTAACTTTTTAGACTTGAGTTTTAGTTGAGCTGTTTTCCCTCTCACTCTGTCCTCGTGTTTCTGCAGCCGCGTGGGCTTCTACGTGAGCACCTTCCAGAGCCTCGCCGCCTTCGAAGAGAAGTTCCACCACGAGATGAGCCGGGTGAGTCTGTGTATCATGGATCTATAATAAGATCCGGCCCAGAAACAGTTCACCCACAGAGCGCAGCGCAGCTTTTGTGAAATCAAACTGCCCGTGTTCGGCTGACGGGGCATTCACAACTTTTATAAAGGTCGGATTTTGTCGGGATTTGTCTATTTTTACAATATGAACTTTTTAGAATTTTTAAATCTTCAAAGCTCCTAAAAGTTAGTCCAATGAGGTTCATTTGGTCTTCCGATAATTTATGTTATCGTATCTTCCGCACTATAGGACAGACTTAAAAACCTTTAATTTCATCAGAAAACGAGTGTGCACCTTATAATCCAGAGCGCCTTATATATGAATTTATTGGTTTGTCTTAGTACGACTTTAGTAAACTACAAAGCCGCTCCACTCGCAGCATTACGGCTCCCGTCGTCAGGAGCATCAGGAGTAATACAGACTGTGATTCCTTTTAATATCAAAATGCACCTGTCAAGAGACACACTCACAACGCCCACTTTAAACTGAAGGCTACAACGCAGTAAAACATGGGAATAGAGCAGCTGCGAGAGAATTCAACATCTGCCAACGGATCGTGGACGCCCGGGCTAAGGATCAGTATCAACTGTGGTCCGAGCTTTCACCAAGACCAGAATCATCACTGAACTGAACTCCAGGGAACAGTAACCACACTGACTCGGATCATGACGAGAGGGATGTGGGCGAGCTGGACGCTGTAATCACCCAACTGTTTGAACTATTATGAATTTTTGTGAATATTCTAACAACTTAGCGTCTCACTCAGTATTTTTTTTTTACGCGTTACAATTGAACAAAGTTGAGTGTTATTGTGAACGTGTTAAATAAAGTTTTTACTGACTTATCTAACTGTTGTGTTTCGTTTAATGCGCCTTAAAGTCAGGTGCGGTTTATATGTGAAAAAAGTTTGAAAACAAACCATTCAGTGACAGTGCGCCTGATAATCCAGAGTGAACTATAGTGCGGGAAATATGGGTTTAGGTTCTTTTTTCAGATCAAGAGTTTATTTTCATCCCTGACAGTTTCGTCTGCTCCCTGCGCTCTTCCTCAGAGTCTCGTGATGTTTCTGTGTCATGTCGTTCAGTTGATTTAAACAGGTTTTGGCGCTGTTTTCCTACCGGTGGAGGCAGGACGACAGCGCCACCTGCAGTCCCACTTCCTCAGGACAGAATCCCAGGTGTGTGAGAACAGGAACAATTTCTGAGCACTGTAAAAGAGACAACCGCTTTCTGGAGCGGGACAGAGGAAAACAAACACCGCCGATGGATTAAAGAGACAATCGAAATATGGAAACGTGCCCACGGGACGATAAACCGGGACGAGGGGCTTTTTTACTCTCACACACCTGGGATTCTGTCCTGAAGAAGTGGGACTGCAGGTGGCGCTGTCGTCCTGCCTCCACCGGTTGGAAGACAGCGCCAAAACCTGTTTAAATCAGTTGATCGACACAACACAGAAACATCACGAGACTCTGAGGAAGAGCGCAGGGAACAGACGAAACTGTCAGGGATGAAAACAAACTCTTGGTCTGAAAAAAGAACCTAACAACATAACATTTACATATAACGTATCTACGTTCTATTGGTAAATAATATTGACTTGTCAAGTTGAATCGACTCAAATAAAGTTAAAAGTTGTTAAATTTCAAGTCTTTTTTCGATCAATGAAATCTGTTCTGTTTTCTTCTGCAGTTGGACCAGGACCTGTACGACGTTTTGGTGAAACTGGAGAACACAGACACAAGCAGGTTCGTCTATTTTCTCTTTGACATTTTTTATGTATCAAGAGTCTTTTTTTTATATTAAAGGTCTGATATTAAATAAAATTGACTCTTCTGAGCTTTTAGTCATGTTATAAAGTTGTTACCTCCTTAGAAACAGACAGAACACAACTCCAGGTCTGTTTTTGACGAGGAAACAACATTATAACCATTGTAATTGAACAGGCCTGCGTGCACCGAAAATACTTATTAAGAATACACGTTTTTGATCAATGCAGGTGCTGTTTTCTCTCTGTAAAATAATCAGTTATAAATAATACTTTACATACAGTGCAGCTCTGTCTACTGTACTATATACACAGTCTATGAGCTGCACGTGTAGTGGTGGAATGTAAACAAACACAATTTGCGCAGCCCTGGACTGAACCCAACGTCCCGTACTGAGAAGGTTCGGCGTGAATACATGAACCGTTACACACCTAATTATTTGCCTTTCATATTATTCATTTCCTTCTAAGTGAACGCTCGCTCGGGGTAAGCTCTACCTCTTTAGCCACAGCTGCCCCGGGCTGATTGACAAAGATGTGGCAGTCATTTTGTACTTCTGTGGTCCTGATTGTCCTTTTTTTTTGGACTATATTTTCGATCTATAGTCGGTGTCTTGGGGTTTCTGTTCAACTGTTCAGTCAAAAGTGTTGTTATTATTTATTATTTTGAAGGTGCACTGTGTAACTTCTCCATTAGGGGTCTGTCACCTGCTTGTTTCTATGGATACGCCATTGCTCTGCTCTGAATGTTCCACGGTGTGACATTAAACAGCTCGACTTTACATTTATCCACAGTCACAGGTGGCTCAAAAATATCTCGAAAAACAAAGTTCTGACGGTGAGCGGGGTCGCCTCTCCACAGATCTGACCTGTGACTTTAACTGGTTTGGTTTCCACGAATATAGAAAGGTTTAATGCCATACTGTGGAACATTCGAGACAAAGCAACAACATCTCCTCGGAGAAAAGCAGTTAATAAAAATGCTATGACGTGAATAAATAAATGAATAAAGATGCGAACATTAACCTGGCGTCACCCTGGACCTTGCAGCAGGACAGGTAACCGTGGCGCGGCGGCGTCGGGAGCTAACAGGAGGTAACCGTGGTAACCTGTGACATCACTTCCTGTCTGTTCACGTCTCTCACTTTGGCGAAATGTTTCTCTTCTCTGTACTGTCGTGTGTGCTGATGGACTAATGAGGAGAGCGGAGTGTTCGGAGCTCCAGAGCTGCACATGTTCAGTCTCAAGGTTCCCACGGGGTCATGGAAACTGAAAATGTCACTATCCAGACCTGGGAAAGTCATGGAATTTTGTAAATTCAATGAAAGATTTGGAAAAGTCATAGAATTTTAATATCACTTTCTCACAACTCGCTCGTCCACATCGAGAGGAGCAGCTGAGGCAGGGTGACCAAACGTCCTTTTTTCTCCGGACATGTTTGTTTTTTGCGTCCTGTCCTGGGCGTCCGGGGTTTTTTTTTCTTTTTAAGTGATGGAAATGTCCGGGTTTTCATTGGAGCCATTAAACTGAGCGTCTTTCGTAGCGTCTGTGACTCAGAAGGAGCGAGACACAAACAGTCGGGCAGTCTGCAACATCCCGAAGCGTAAATGCGCATTTAACGATGACTTGTACGAGAAATTCCCCGGTTTTCAGCCCGGTCGGGACAAGTGGGAGTCCATGTGCACAGGTTGTGAGGTGAGGTCCCACCTTCCACTCCCGGTAAAGTGTCCGGGTTTTCACAAACGGAAACATGGTCACCCTAAGCCTCCTGAGCGCCTTCCTCGGGAGGTGTTCCGGGCATGTCCCACCGGAGGGAGGCCCCGGGGAAGACCCAGGACACACTGGAGGGACTGTGTCTCTGGACTGGCCTGGGAACACCTCAGGGTCCCTCTGGAGGAGCTGGAGGACGTGTCTGGGGTGAGGGAAGTCTGGGAGTCCCTGCTTAGACTGATGCCCTCACGACCCGGATCAGATCAAAGAGAGGCATTTTAGTGTTAAAGAGTGAAAGAGTTTTAGAGTTAAAGAATTTTTAGAGTTAAAGAGTTTTTAGAGTTAGAGGTAAAGAGTTTTTAGAGTTAAAGAGTTTTTTTTAGAGCTAAAGAGTTTTTTTTTTAGAGTTAAAGAGTTAGAGTTTTTAGAGTTAAAAAGTTAAAGAGGCATTTTAGTGTTAAAGAGTGAAATAATTTTTAGAGTTAAAGAGTTTTTAGAGTTAGAGTTAAAGAGTTTTTAGAGTTAGAGTTAAAGAGTTTTTAGAGTTAAAGAGGCATTTTAGGTTTTTAAAGTTAGAGAGTTTTTAGAGTTAAAGAGTTAAAGAGGCATTTTAGGTTTGTTAGAGTTAAAGAGTTTTTAGAGTTAAAGAGTTTTTAGAGTTAAAGAGTTTTTAGAGTTAAAGAGTTAAAGAGGCATTTTAGGTTTTTAGAGTTAAAGAGTTTTTAGAGTTAAAGAGTTTTTAGAGTTAAAGAGGCATTTTAGGTTTTTAGAGTTAAAGAGGGTTTTTTTAGACTTAAAGAGGCATTTTAGGTTTTTAGAGTTAAAGAGTTTTTAGAGTTAAAGAGTTTTTAGAGTTAAAGAGTTAAAGAGCATTTTAGGTTTTTAGAGTTAAAGAGTTTTTAGAGTTAAAGAGTTTTTAGAGTTAAAGAGGCATTTTAGGTTTTTAGAGTTAAAGAGTTTTTTTTTAGACTTAAAGAGGCATTTTAGGTTTTAAGAGTTAAAGAGTTATTAGAGTTAAAGAGTTAGAGTTTTTAGAGTTAAAGAGTTTTTAGAGTTAAAGAGTTTTTAGAGTTAAAGAGTTAAAGAGGCATTTTAGGTTTTTAGAGTTAAAGAGGTTTTAGAGTTAAAGAGTTTTTAGAGTTAAAGAGTTAAAGAGGCATTTTAGGTTTTTAGAGTTAAAGAGTTTTTAGAGTTAAAGAGTTTTTAGAGTTAAAGAGGCATTTTAGGTTTTTAGAGTTAAAGAGTTGTTTTTTAGACTTAAAGAGGCATTTTAGGTTTTTATAGTTAAAGAGTTATTAGAGTTAAAGAGTTAGAGTTTTTAGAGTTAAAGAGTTTTTAGAGTTAAAGAGTTTTTAGAGTTAAAGAGGCATTTTAGGTTTTTAGAGATAAATAATTTTTAGAGTTAAAGAGTTTTTAGAGTTAAAGAGTTTTTTTTTTGAGTTAAAGAGTTGGAGTTTTTAGAGTTAAAAAGTTTTCAGAGTTAAAGAGGTTTTTTTAGAGTTAAAGAGTTAAAGAGTTTTTAGAGTTAAAGAGTTTTTAGAGTTAAAGTGTTTTTAGAGGTAAAGAGTTTTTAGAGTTAAATAGTTTTTAGAGGTAAAGAGTTTTTAGACTTAAAGAGTTTTTAGAGTTAAAGAGTTTTTAGACTTAAAGAGTTTTTAGAGTTAAAGAGGCATTTTAGGTTTTTAGAGTTAGAGTTTTTTTTTTTTTTAGAGTTAAGGAGTTTTTATCAAAGGAGAATCATCTTGAGAACCAAAACACAAACTGAAAACATACCGTATTTTCCGCACTATTAGACGCGCTCTTAAGCCTCCAACCCCATCAAAAAACGACCGCGCGCCACAATCCGGAGCGCCCCATACACGAATCCACTCGGGTGTCCCAGCACGACTTCAGTAAACTACAAAACCGCAAACACACACGGAGCAGACAGCGACCGCACGGCGAAACACACCCACAGACGCACACTCATCACTCCACGCCGACGAGGAACGGAACGGAGGAACGAACGTGAAAAAGCGAGCGCGACGTGCCGCTTCTAGACACGACTGAACAACTGAGTCACTGCGAACACGCCGACGATCCGTTGGTCCCAGACAGCACCCTCCCTACACGAAAGTTTTAAAATGTAAAAAATGACCGATAACGATGGACAAAACTGAAACGCCATTTACCAAGATTTGAATTTCTGTCGAGATGAATGGAAAACTGTGCTTGAAGGGGGGATATTTTTGGAGCTTTCTCCCATGTTTTAATGTTCCATCGTCTAAAAAAACAGGTCTGAAGAGGTTTTAGAGACATCCACGTGTGTTTGAGTAATCTAGCGATCTCTCTGTACGAGATTTCTCCATAAATACGACAAATATTCTCCATGAATAATACAAAAACGTGACAGAAAACCGCACTAGATTCGTTAGAGGGACGCACGGTGATTGTGTTGTGATGGCGCTCTGAAGGGGGAGCGACTTAGCAGCAAAACCGAAACTTATAAAACACGTTAAGCTGTTGTTGCGGGTGATTATAGCGTTTACAAAACAATAAAAAGAGCTAAAAATTTGAGGAACGGAACGGAGGAACGAACCGAAAAAGCGAATCCAACGTGCTGCTTCTAGACACGACTGAACAACTGAGTCACTGCGAACACGCCGACAATCCAGCGACAGACACTACTCCCTACACGCCACAACTGAACAAAGCCCAGAGTCACCGTGAACGAACAAACAAACAAAACCACTCACCCATCACACTGTTGGGTTTCCTTTAAAGTCCCATGCGGTTTATTTGTGAAAAAAGTAAGGTAATGGTTGTGAAATTTGAATCAATATTCTCGAACTTTAAATCTACACTGACCCAGGTTTGCGTGAGCCGTACATGTGCCGCTCTGGAGCCGAAGTTGAGCCTGTCTTTTTCTCTTTTCTCTAACTCTGGATGCTCTTTCTTCACTCTGAGCCTGAGGAGCACTGGGCCTGTTTGCATGGGACCCTCCAGTGGACCAATGATCTGCATGACGACCACTGTAACATCTGCTGCCTGAGTCCTAACAGCATGTGAACCCTCTCTGTAGCTACATCCAACTCAACCTGAACCCTTTTCCTCCTCTCTGCTCTTCTGCTTCAGTGTTGGGTTTGATTTCTGTAATATCACTTGTGTTTCTGATTTATTTCTAGTGGCAAAGAGGCGTCGAACCACACGCTCAGGCCAGGCGGACCTCCACCCATCCCCAAGTCCCCGTCCAAGGTAAAGTCCAGAGAGTTATGACTTAGACTTAAACTAAAGGCCGCCGCACGTCGACTCTGAGCTGCTCTGTCAGATCGTAACCACCAAACTTCAGCAACGCTACAGTAACACCCAAAGAAACAGAACGTCAGGGGCAGAGGAGTGACGGACACACAGTCACAAGATACATATAGCGAAAAATAATTATTACTCAACTCTTGTAAAGTTGTAAATTTAAACACATGATCCGTAGAATTCGAACTACGCAAATAATGATCCTAGTCCACAAGACAGCGCTGTGAATCCAGTTTGAGGCGGGGGGTTTTTTAAGTAAAAAGGTGGGAGTAGTTCCTCATGTGTGTCTGTTTACATCCACACAGCGCACGGATCGAGGTGAAGCTGCAGATTAGCGACAGTGACTCTTCTTCCTGTGGACTTTATCTCCAATCTTTTATGCTTTAAAAATCCTGTATCTGAAATTTTGCGCCACATTTCACAAATAATAGCAACACAGTTTTGACTTGAAGTGTAGAGCTCTGATCTTTTCCACACTTAAAGAGTCTCAAAGTGACTAGTTTTAGACACGAAACGGCAGACGCGATCATGCACACAGCTTTATATCATTTATATCCTTTATATTTTGGTCCGCAGACAGATCCCACTGCAGTGTTTTAGACTTTTAGAGATGACATAGTTGTTGACAGGGCATAGCGTTACCTGTTACATCAGGCTGAGCTGCTGTACAGACTGTATGAAAAACAGTCCAAAATATAGAGAAGCAGATTGTCTATTGTTATCATGTTACTACTCGGCAGATTAGCCTTATTAGCAGAATTATTTCCACCAGTTTAATGTCTCTATTTTGTCCCTTTGTCTCTTATTAAACAATAAATGGATGTGCAAAGGTTTTAAAGAAATACAAACTCATAGAAAACAATTCCTGTAGTGAATGAAACTCATATAAGTGTACTTTAGCATTTTTTGCATTTAGTACAGTAATTTGTACTAAACTAATTGTTACTAAAAACATTTTCAAGAGACTCATGGTGTTGTCATGAACTTTATAAAGCATAGAACTATAATAAAATCTGGAAGATGAACCCAAGATGGCATTGTATTGTTTTCAGTGGTCTGTGCTCATTGGAGCATTGCGCCAAAAAATATTTTTACTAGTGATGTCGAGATGAAGCCCCATGAAGCACTGAAGCGTTCCGTCCATTTGCTTGACTCTTGAGCCGATGCTTCAAAGTGCTTCATTTGCTCCACTGCGACATCAAGAGGCCAAAAAATGTATAACAGACAGAGTGAAAATAGAACAATCAACATGATCATCGAGGTTCTGATGGAAAGATTTATACTGAATAAATGAACGATTAAATAGTTGAATGTTTGTGATTTCAGCATAAACTGTGAATGTATTAACCTGGAGTCTGTGTTCATGATAAAACGGTCGGGTTAAAAGAAAAAGTAAGAACAAATTGGAGATCAGGATGTAATGTGAATGTGCTCATGTTACTACTTTATGTCTGTCTCAAACTCTTACAGAGCCAACTTTTAGACGTTTTGACGATTTAAAATATTTTTGAGGTTCATATTGTAAAAATACAAAAGAATTCCTACAAAATCCGACCTTTGTGAAAGTTGTCGATGCTCTCTCAGCCGAACATGGGCAGTCTGATTTCAGAAAAAATGCATTGCGCTCTAACTGCTGCTGTGAGCCTCGTCAATTTGGTCTTAAAATATATTAACTCACTCTACATCAGGGGTGTCAAACTCATTTTGGTCCGGGGGCCGTATCCAACCTACTTTGATCCCAAAGGGGCCGGATCAGAAAACTCATGTCATATAAACCCCAAAAATAACAATAAGTTCAAGTATTCGTGCAGAGAAACGCAAATCTATTACAGAAATCTTTTTTAATTGATTAACTCTTTCTTATTATAATATTATGAACAACCTGAAACTTGTTTGCAAATAGGAACAAGTCAGTTTTTTGGGGAAAATCCTGCACTCGGCTCCACTTTTCTCATTTTGGACATTTTTCTGATGAGGGTGTCACGGTCAACAGTCAAAACGATCGTCCTTTAAGAGCGTTTGGAAAGAGACAAGTCTTCATTTGTGCTGCTCTGGTGGGAGGGGCCACGTACAGAGACGCTGGAGACACTGCTGTGATAAACACCACAGAAAATTACCAATATTTTTATAGAAATATAATTAAAATATTTTAGTAGAAAATCAGCCGAGGGTCAGATTAAAGGTCTTGGAGGGCCGGATCTGGCCCCCGGGCCTTATGTTTGACACCTGTGCTCTACATGCTCCTGATGTTTTTAGTTTGCTGTTTTGTCCATAAATGAATTCCTATTCCTAATATTTAACTCTGCTCTAAATTCACCCCTATAACTCCTGGCCTCGTGAGCTTCATTTGAACTCACTTCGTCCACTTCTTCGTACAGTCCGTGGTTGTTAGAGGTGATTGTGCGTTAACCCCGCTGCCCTTGTTGTTGGTTGTGTGTTTGTAGTTAAAGCCAGCAGTGCCTCCTCCTCCAAAGGTGACCCCGTCTAAAGAGATGAAGACCGAAAACATCATCAACCTGTTCGACGCCGCCAACAATCCAGACATCAGCGTCACGTCTCCAACGGAGGTCAGTGCCGAGCCTCTCCTGTGGTCGCCCCTGTCTCGTCCCTGTCATGTCCCTGTCATGTCCCTGTCACGCGTCCTCATGGTTAAGTCTTAATCAAAAGTACTTAAAAAGCCAAACCGTTTTAAACTAAGACAGAATTCCAAGAAATAAAAGCAGCGTATGAACAGCAAGTTTGCATTTACAACTTCACTTCCGACTTACTGTGTAGGTAAGAGACAAAATATAAATTAAAACAAACACATAGGACATACGGACATAAAATCTGAACACCACAGCAACGAAACAAGAAGAAAAATCAAACTTTAGTTGAATCCAGTTGAGAGAATCGCACAGACATCTTAACCAAAATAGTCCTTCTATATTAAAAATGCACCCTCTGTGTCCTGACTCCTCCCTCTTAGGTGAGACTCCGCCCCCTTTTTCTATGACTCCGCCCTCTCTCTGCCCCCTCCCTCTTATGCGAGGCCCCACCCCCTTCTCTACGACCGGTAAAGTCTGACCCTTCCACATGTGAGTCCCTGGTCCAATTCCCAGGAGTTCGCCTTTTCTGAAAAAAACCTTCTCCCTCTGTGTGAGACTCCGCCCCCTGTGTGTGACTCCGCCCCCTCTCTGCCCTCTCCGTGTATGACCCCGCCCCCTCTCTATCTGCCCCCTCCCTCTTAAGGGCCGTTCACACCAGAGCATCAAAGCGTCCAGTTTATGTGTAAAGTCTATGTGGACGTGCGACTAGAGCGTCCTGCGTTTTTGCGGCGCGTCTTCGGGCGTTACCGCGGCACGAGTCTGCCGTCGACGCGGTCTGTGCCAGAAAGTTGAAAACGCAGAGCTTCAATCCACGTCAATCAATCAGGGACGAGTATCCAGTGGTGACGTAGCGACGTTATTATCTGGAAGAAAGAGAAAGACCCGAGAACTGGAGCGGGAGCCACAAACATCAGCAGAGCATAAATATATACACCAGAATCACTGAGCAGATCACAAGGACTACGCCAGAACCAGACCAGGACTAGACCAGGACTAGACCGGGACTAAACCAGGACCGGACCAGTGTCATTAGTGGAGTATACATAGATATCCGCCGCAATCCTCAAGTTGATCTCCTCCGCTGATGGTTTTATGTAATGAATACACTAAAGTCTCTGTCAGTCTGGTCCGTCGTTCCAGGAAACGACCAGGATCAGGCACTGGTTTCCAACCAACAGGCAACAGACGCGCGTCAAGTATTTTTCTCCCGTTCGTCCACGCCCTCAAAGAATCGCATCAGGGTCATCAACACTCGCTCAAATAGAGGCGTTTTTGACGCTCTGGTGTGAACGGACCTTTAGACTAAGTTTACCCTGAAACAAATCACGGTATCACTGTATCGGAAACGATTTGGGTCCAGACACGTCATTTCTGTGTCCGCAAGCCTTCCCTATCCACACAGCTTTGAGCACATTTATTTACGTTTTACAGAAGCAAAACTTAAAACCACATGGCTCATTTGCATAAACTAAGTGCTCAAAAAAACAGCTCTTTCCTTGTGCGCTGATGTGGTTCAGCTTTTGTCGGACTAAAGGACTCAGTGGAATATGAGTGTTCTTTCTGTGACAGAGGGATGTTCTGCTGATGGTGAGTCTGTTGGAGATGGTTCATGTGAAACTTTTCAGAGATTAAACGTCTGCAGGTCGTACACACAGACACACGTTTATATGAATGGACATATATTCTCACCTCTTAGTGTTTTGGCGGTGAATTACTTCGTGGTGCACAGACCTACGTGAGAGTATCAGTGTTTTCAGGAGTCCACACAGTGCTGGATCAGATGAATTTGTAGGAGGTGGAGGCACCAGATCGTTCCGTCTCTGGAGCCATTTTCAATCGGATTAGTGTGAACGAACACTGCACCCACAACGAAAACAACTCCAATACGTACAAGTGTGGACGGGGCCTTAGCTGTGACCCTGCCCCCTCAGTGTGTGACCCCTCCCCCTGTGTGACCACGCCCCCTCTGTGTGACCCCACTCCTCTGTGTGACCCCGCCCCCCCTGTGTGTGACTCCGCCCTCAGTGCTGTGTTCCTGTCGTTGTGCTCAGCCTGTAGGCAGCAGCCTGTTGGACCTCGACCTGGACTCTTTCAGTGCGGCGGCGCAGTCTGCCTCCGGTGTGGCACAGGTGGTTCATCTCAGGCATGAGCGCCCCCCAGAGGGACCCCAGAACACGCCAGGCTCCTCAAGACATTTACACACTGTTCAGAATCATCAGGTGAAGACATCAGGGGTGTCTGAACTACACAGACCTGCATTTATCAGAGCTGTTACAAAGATAATGTACTTTTAGTTTTAGTCTGTATCACAATCCAGTGTGGTGTTATTAAATTTATAATGGTTGAATTACTTAAATTTGCAGTAAAAAGTCATTTGGGCCAATTCAGCACGAGGCTTAAAGGTCCCATCTCCTGTAAAATAACTCTTTTCACATTGTATCTTCTGCACATAAACAAGCACAATTTGGGTTTTGGAACATCCGTGACACAATAGTTCTGAAATGTTACTGATTTCTTGGATCAGTCACAGGAACTATGAAAGTCCGACTATTGCTCCTCCCCCCGCCCGTCCTGAGAAAGCACAGGCTCCGCCCTCCAAACGTGACGTAGGCGACGAGTGAGCCGCCCTTCCTCCGCCATCTCAGGGAGGGAGGGGGAGACAGACGTGACCCTGACAGCGGCAGGAATAAACTTTTATTCATCATGGAGATACAGCGCGTTCAGCCGCATGTGTTGGACCCGGAATCGGACGAGGACTTTGAGGAGCATGAAGCTCAAGCACCACATCCACATCAGCTGAACATTACTGATTGGTAAAATATTAATAAACATTAGTAGATCAACTTATTATATCGTGTAGACTGCAGTGTAGAAAAATGAGCTTTTGCTCATGTCATAAGACATAAGACTGCAAAAAACAAAATCTAGTCAAGTTAAGACGACTGGAATTAAGAAAGTTTTGTTATGATTTGAATAAATTTCACTTGACGAGTAAAATGATCTGCCAGTGGAACAAGACTTTTTGTACTTAAAATATGAAAATTCAACTTACTACGCTTAGAATAAGAAAAAAACAACAGCTCTTTGTGAGATAATTTGACTTGTCAAGTTGAATCGACTCAAATAAAGTAAAATGTTTTTAATTTAAATCACCGATCTCTACTGAACTAAAAGCAAAAGGAGCTGCTAAAGTGAACACTTCTGCTTGATGACCTCACAAGGTGGAACAGAGCATTTTGAGCTTGTGAATGAAACAAAACTTAACTATAGAACAATGAGCTTATGCTGTCGCTTTTGTTTAGATGATGGAGGCAGTGGAGTGTCATACACATCTGCCACGTCATCGTTGTAGCAGTTTTAGTTCATTGTCACGTGGATGTGCTGCAATTTGTTAAAAAAAGAAAGGAAAAAAAAAGCCAAATCAATCTACAAACCACTTGGGCGACAAATACAAGACCCACACATCACTCTGAGAAGGTAGAAAGCTCTGAAAAGTAGATTTTTTTCATGAAATGGGCCCACAAATATTGCTCTGAGGGCCGTAATTTGGTCCCCAGGTCATAGTTTGTTCACCCCTGATGTTTATCTATTAGTCTGTAGTCTGTCCAATACTGAAACTGAACTTCCTGATAAACTCGACCTGGAGGATTCAGCGTGAGCACGAGGGAGAGAAAACAGGATTTATTCTTGTCTCGACAACACACTGGCCCAAAAAAATCTTCTTGTTATATTTAAACGATGTGTGTAAATGTCTGGTGAAAGCGTGTCGTGCTTTGCGTTCTTCTCCTGGGTTTTGGAAAATGGCATGATGATGGACGGAGCTCAAACTGCTTTAGAGACAGAGCACTTCTTCTTCTTCTTCTTCTTCTTCTTCTTCTTGTTCTTCTGATCACCTCCAGCATGACTCTTCTTCTGCGCTGCTTTGGTCTGACTCTGGACGTGGTTTTTATCCGGTCTGAACTGCTTCTTCTGACCTTTTTCTCTCTCTCGGCTCGTGGCTTTAAGAGATTTTTAGACAGCATGGACTAGAGAATCTGTTTCGTTCGTTTTTCAAAATAAAACCGTAAATAAGAAGAAACGAAAAAAGAAACAACTATTTTCCTTCATTATTTGTCTCCAAAACCAAAAAACAGATAATGATTTGTTTTTTCAGTTTTGGGTTTTGTGTTTAAATGATTAATGGAAAAAACGGAAGACGGATTGAACCAGGACTAAACCAAGACTAAATCAGGACTAAACTGGTCTCAGTCCTGGTTTGGTCCCAGTCTGGTCTTTGTTTCAGTTCCAGTCTCAGTTCTGGTCTCAATTCTGGTCTCAGTCTCTGCCTCAGCCATAGTCCGGTTCCCGGTCTCAGTCCTGGTCTTAGTTCTGGTCTCAGTCCCGGTCTCAGTCCTGGTCTTAGTTCTGGTCTCAATTCTGGTCTCAGTCCCTGCCTCAGTCATAGTCCAGTTCCCGGTCTCAGTCCTGGTCTCGGTCCTGGTTTTAGTCCCAGTCTGGTCCCGGCCTCAGTCCCAGTCTCAGTCCCAGTCTCAGTCCTGGTCTTAGTCCCAGTCCCGGTCTCAGTCCCAGTCTCCGTCATGGTTGTGTTCTCGGTCTCAGTCCCGGTCTCAGTTCTGGTCTCAGTTCTGGTCCCAGTTCTGGTCTCAGTCCCGGTCTCAGTCTGGTCCTGGTCTCAGTCCTGGTCTCAGTCCTGGTCTGGTCCTGGTCTCAGTCCCGGTCTCAGTCCTGGTCCGGTCCTGGTCTCAGTCCCGGTTCTCAGTCCTTGTCTTAGTCCCGGCCTTAGTCCCAGTCTCAGTTCTGATCTGGTTCTGGTCTCAGTCCCAGTCTCAGTCCTGGTCTGGTCCCGGTCTGGTCTCGGTCTCAGTCCCGGTCTGGTCCCGGGCCCAGTCCCGGTCTGGTCCCGGGCCCAGTCCCGGTCTGGTCCCGGGCCCAGTCCCAGGCTCAGTCATGGTCTCAGTTCTGGTCTGGTCCAGTTTTCAGTCCCAGTCTGGTTTTGGTCTCAGTCCTGGTCTGGTTCCGGTTTCAGTCCTGGTCTGGTTCTGGTCTCAGTCCCGGTCTAGTTCCGGTCTCAGTCCTGGTCTCAGTCCTTGTCTCATTCATGGTTGTGTTCCCGGTCTCAGTCCTGGTCCTGGTCTCATCCCAGTCTCAGTCCCAGTCTCAGTTCTGATCCAGTTCCCGGTCTCAGTCCTGGTCTCAGTCTGGTCTCAGTCCTGGTCTCAGTCCTGGTCTGGTCCCGGTCTCAGTCCCAGTCTCAGTCATGGTTGTGTTCTCGGTCTCAGTCCTGGTTCAGTCCGTTAATCATTTTTTCCGTTCTTCATTTAAACACAAAACTGAAAAAAATGAATCATTCTCCGTTTTTCATTTCAATTTTGGAGACAAATAATAAAGAAAATCATCACTTTTTCATCTTATTTTTGGTTTTATCTTGAAAACCGAGCGACCGAACGACACTCGGGTTCTAGAAGTTCCCCACACGTCACCGTAGAAACTTCATGACCCTTTTAATCTCACCGTTTCTTCTTCTTCTTTCCACAGCCGACGAACTGGGATTCCTGGGTAAGTGGTCGAGATATTTCCTGTACTTTAGTCTCATCACAGTTCTGGAATAATCTAGTCTTTTATTTGTATTTTTAACTGTATAATTTTATAATAAATGAAGGCAGAAATAGTCTCTTCACTCAGATCTGAAACCTTCCGGCGGATTTCCTTGAACCTTCCTTGTTCCACGTTGCATGTTTTTGACATTTTGGCTGTTCTGCCTGTTAAATGTTTGTTTTATTCTGTTTTTGTTGCTTGATCTGCCTGCGTCTGTGTTGGTTTTGTCTTGTGTTGGGTTATTAACTCTACTCAGACCTTTCCTCAATTCAGTCCTGACAAAAATAACTGTTTATTGAAGGTGCACTGTGTCACTTTTCCAATGGAAGGTCCGTCAAACACTTTTCTTCGTGGGGATGTTATTGCTATGGAGACCAAACCAGAACAAGTTAGAAGTCAGATCTGTGGAGAGGCAACCCAGCTCAGTGAGAATGCCTGTTTATATATATATATATATATATATATATATATATATATATATATATATATATATTATATATATATATATATATAGATAGATAGTTGGTTTTAGTTGGTTAGTTGGTTAGTTTTTTTTTTTTCCTTACACGTGAGCAGCTCCATTTTTCTTCATTTCTTCTTCTACTAGGAATTGTCGACATCTGGTCAAATAAATATGTCAAAGTAAGAGTTGTACGTTTACGTTTGCATTGAACCTAAGGACATGTATCGATGTATATATGTAGTAAAATCAGGAACTTCAACTTTAAACGCTAAGTCAACGTCACGTACTAAAATGTTGCGTTGTGCATTGTTTTACTTCTCAAAACAGCCCGTGTCTACCCAGGCTGGCGCCACCTAGTGCCACTCAATTTCATTGTCAGGAATCAGAATACACTAGAGTAAAACTCAAATTCACAGAGGCCAAAATTAAAAACTGGGATTAAGTCGTGGGCCAGACTAAATATTTATGGAAAAATTTCAGCAACATCTGCATGTTTTCTCTTCTTTCGAGATCTGTAATGTTAAACCTTTTTTAATTAAAATAAATGTTTAATAATAGTTTTGCTTAAACATTGAATCTAGAACAAGCAAAATATTAAATAAAAACAACATTTTAAATAAATCATGTTTCTATAGTCGATCTGTAGCAGCTCTAAAACATATTAGATATGATCGCACGGGCCAAATATAATTATATAACGGGCCAAATTTGGCTCCTGGGCCAGAGTTTGACATGTTTGCACTAGATTGGTTTGCAAAAACCCCGGAAGTCCAAGTTTGGGCACCAACCAATCAGCAAAGACCCATACATTCCGTGTTGGCAACGATTCCCGAGATCGAGGATTTAAAACCAGTTTAAACCTAGTTTTAATCCTGATTTTAGTCCTGGTTTAGACCTAGATTAGACCTAGATTTAATCCTTATTTAGACCTGGTTTAGACCTGGTTTTAGTCCTGATTTTAGTCAGACATTCTGTGTTGGCAACGATTCCCGAGATCGAGGCTTTAAAGTCGGAACAAAGAGAATGTTTGATGAATTTTATCAAGGGGAAAGACTTTATTGTCCTTCTTCCTACAGGATTTGGAGCTTTACAAACATCACGACCAAACAGCAGCGACTGGTTAAATAAAAAAGTACCGGCCGACTGTCGAGGGATCGAATCCTAATGCCCCGAGGTCACAGGGTTTCTACGAAGTGAAACCAGCTGATGAATCAGATTAGAACATTCCAGGCAAAGCAATGACACGAGCAGTTACACAGTGCACCTTTAAATAGAAATGAAAAAAATCTAATTCAGATCATTTTTGCATGACTGAATTGACTTCTTCTTTGAGTTGTTGTGTGTCCCTCAGCCTCCCTGTTTGTTTTCATGTCTAATGTTCACACTCGTCCACATGAGACACACAGGGACCAGCTCCTGGAGAAACAGAGTCCTCCTCCGGGTTTAGACCTGGTTTAGACCTAGACTTAATCCCGTTTAGACCTAGTTTTAGTCCTGATTGTAGTCCTTAATTAAGTCCTGGTTTAGTCCTGGTTTAGACGTGGTTTAAAGGTGGTTAAGTCCTGGTTTTAGTCCTGGTTTAGACCCAGTTTAGACCTAGATGTAATCCTCATTTTGACCTGGTTTAGACCTGGTTTTAGTCCTGATTGTAGTCCTGATTTAAGGCCTGGTTTAGTCATGGTTTAGACCTGGTTTTAGACCTAATTTTAGTCCTGATTTAAATCCTGGTTTAGACGTAGTTTAGCCCTAGATTTAATCCCGGTTTAGACCTGGTTTAGACCTGTTTTAATCCTGATTTAAATCCTGGTTTAGTCCTGGTTTAGTGCTGGTTTACACCTAGTATAGACCTAGATTTAATCCTGGTTTAGACCTAGATGTAATCCTCATTTAGACCTATTTTAGACCCAGTTTTAGTCCAGATTTAAGTCCTGATTTAAGGCCTGGTTTAGTCTTGGTTTAGTGCTGGTTTAGTCCTAGTTTAGACCTAGAGTTAATTCTCATTTAGACCTGGTTTAGACCTGGTTTTAATCCTGATTTTAGTCCTGGTTTAAACCTAGTTTAGATCTAGATTTAATCCTCGTTTTAGACCTGGCTAAGACATGGTTTTAGACCTAATTTTAGTCCTGGTTTATTGCTGGTTTAGATCTTGTTTAGACCTGGTTTTAGTCCTGATTGTAGTCCTGATTTAAGCCCTGGTTTACTCCTGGTTTAGACATGGTTTAGACCTGATTTTAGTGCTTATTTTAATTCTGGTTTAGACCTAATTTTAGTCCAGATTTTAGACCTGGTTTAGTCCTGATTTTAGTCCTGGTTTAGACCTAGTTTAGACCCAGATTTAATCCTCATTAAACCTGGTTTAGACCTGATTGTAGTCCTGATTTAAGTCCTGGTTTAGTCCTGGTTTAGACGTTTAAATGTGGTTTAGACCTGGTTTTAGTCCTGATTTTAGTTCTGGTTTAGTCCTGGTTAAGTCCTGGTTTAGGCCTGGTTTAGGTCTGGTTTTAGTCCTGGTTTAGACCTGGTTTAGTCCTGGTTTAGTCCTGATTTAGACCTAGTTTAGACCTGGTTTAGACCTGGTTTAGACTTGAGTTGACTTCCCGGGGTCCGTGTACGTCCCTGTTTGTTTTCATGTCTCGTACGTCCACACTCGTCACAAACATGAGACTCACAGGGACCAGCTCGTTTTCTTTCTCTCTCCTTTTTGCGCTGGTGAAGCCGTAGCCCCTCCCCCTCCCCCCGGGGTTTCCCACTTCACCAGCCCCTGCCTGCACCTGCCCGCCCCTGCCGCACCCTGCCGCACCCTGCCGCACCCCGCCATGAACTAACCCGAGAACTGTAAGAGAGCCGTGTCCGCCGACGAGCAAAACCCGGGAGACGCGCCTCCTCTTACAAACCTCCTCTTTCTCCATCCGAACATAGCCCCGTGTGTTGAACCTCTGTTTGAGAAGCAGAAGAACCGGACTCTATCTTCTGATGGAAAAAAAAAAAAAACTGCTCCGACTTTAGTTTCCTGCTTCCTTCTCCTCCTCCTCCTCTTCATCTGTCAACCATGGAGGTCTTCAGACGACGTCCATGCTCCTTCGTAAAACATCCTCTCTTAAATCTTCTGATCCTTTCATCCGTGACGTCTTTCATGATTCCATAACTGGGATTTTTGCATGTTTTATTTTAAAACCAAAGCACCGAACGGTCGAATTCTACGAGATCGAGCTCTAAAACATGCAAAATCACAGAGGGAGTCTCACAAAATATCTTGAACCTTAAATCGTTTTGGATATTTTCAAGATAATCCCTAATTCTATGATTAAAAATGAAAGTTTAGACCTGGTTTTACTCCTGGTTTAAACCTAGTTTTGATCTAGATTTAATCCTCGTTTAGACCTGGTTTTAGTCCAGATTTTATTCCTGATTTAGTGCTGGTTTAGACTTGGTTTAGAGCTGGTTTATTCCTAATTTTAGTCCTGGTTTAGACCTAGTTTAAACCTAGACTTAATCCTCATTTAGACCTGGTTTTAGCCCTGATTTCAGTCTTGGTTTAGTAATGGTTTAGTCCTGGTTTAGACCTTGATTCAATCCTCGTTTAGATCTTGTTTAGACCTGGTTTTAGTTCTGATTGTAGTCCTGGTTTTAGTCCTGTTTAGACCCAGTTTAGACCTGGATTTAATCCTCGTTTAGACTGGGTTTAGACCTGGTTTTAGTCCTGTTTTAGACCTAGTTTAGACCTAATTTTTGTCCTGATTTTAGTCCTGGTTTAGACCCAGTTTTGACCTAGACTTAATCCTCGTTTAGACCTGGTTTAGACGTGCTTTTAGTCCTGGTGTAGTCCTTGTTTAGACCTAAATTTAATCCTTGTTTAGACCTGGTTTAGTCCTGGTTTTAGTCATGGTTTTTGTTCTGGTTTAGTCCTGATTTTAGTCCCGGTTTAAACCTGGTGTAGACCTGGTTTAGTCCTGGTTTAAACCTGGTTTAGACATGGTTTTAGTCCTGGTTTAGTGCTGGTTTAGACTTAGATTTAATCCTGGTTTAGATCTTGTTTAGACCTAGTTTTAGTTCTGATTTTAGTCATGGTTTTAGTCCTGGTTTAGACCCAGGTAAGACCTATATTTAATTGTTGTTTAGACCTGGTTTAGTCCTGGTGTAGTGTTGGTTTAGTCCTGATTTTAGTCCTGGTTTAGACCCAGTTTAGACCTAGACTTAATCCTCGTTTAGACCTGGTTTTAGCCCTGATTTTAGTCATGGTTTAAATCTGGTTTAGACCTGGTTTAGTTCTGGTTTAGTCCTGATTTTAGTCCTGGTTTAGTCCTGGTTTAGATCTGGTTTTACAAAACATGCAAAATCACAGAGAGATTTTCATAAATTAACTTGATCCTTTTTGATTCTTGATGATCCCAAATTCTATTCTGAAAAAATCCAGTTTTTATTTTAAGCTGCTGTAACTTTTCTGGTGGAGGGTCCGTCTCGTGCTTATCGCCATGGAGATGTTGCCTGGAACGTTCCCTTGTATGGCATTACACTTATTTATCTCTACGGAGACAGGAGATGACATCACTGGGCCAAGTTACATGTCAGGTCTGTGGAGAGGCGAGCCCAGTCACAGTGAGTTTGCAAGTCCTGGTTTAGACCTGGTTTAGTCCTGGTTTTAGTTCTTATTTTAGTCCTGGTTTAGACCTGGTTAATTCCTGGTTGAGTCCTGGTCTAGTCCTGGTTTAAACCTGGTTTAGACATGGTTTTAGTCCTGGTTTTAATCCTGGTTTAGTCCTGGTTTAGTCCTATTTTAGAACAGTTTTATACTTGGTTTAGTCCAGGTTTAGTCCTGATTTTAGACCTGGTTTAGTCCTAATTTTAGTCCTGGTTTAGACCTAGTTTAGACCTGGTTTAGTCCTGGTTTTAGTTCTTATTTTAGTCCTGGTTTATATCTGGTTTTAGTCCTGATTTTAGTCCTGGTTTAGTCCTGGTTTTAGTTCTTATTTTAGTCCTGATTTTAGACCTGGTTTAGTCCTGGTTTTTTCCCGGTTTAGTCCTAATTTTAGTCCTGGTTTAGTCCTAATTTTAGTCCTGGTTTAGTCCTGATTTTAGTCCTGGTTTAGTCCTGGTTCGTCCTGGTTTAGTCCTGGTTTAGTCCTAATTTAGACCTGGTTTAGTCCTGGTTTTAGTTCTTATTTTAGTCCTGGTTTAGATATGGTTTTAGTCCTGATTTTAGACCTGGTTTAGACCTGGTTTATTCCCGGTTTAGTCCTAATTTTAGTCCTGGTTTAGTCCTGATTTTAGTCCTGGTTTAGTCCTGATTTTAGTCCTGGTTTAGTCCTGGTTTAGTCCTGGTTTAGTCCTGGTTTCGTCCTCATTTAGACCTGGTTTAGTCTTGGTTTAGTCCTGGTTTTAGTCCTGCGGGTCTAGACAAAGCAACATCTCCATGGAGACAACCCGGCGACGTCCCTCCACCAGAAAAGTCCCACATTGCGTCTTTATTAATGCATCTGTGACACCCTGAAAAGAGTCTCTGTAACTCAGCTGAAATGTTCTTCCACACCCACATCTGCGCCGCCCGCCCCAGACCGACGAGGGCGCCGCCGCCGAGGAGGAGGAGGAGGACGAGGAGCCGCCGCCCGCCGCCCGCCGCCACTACGACCCCATAGCGGCGGCTCAGGAGGGCTGGGGCGACGACGGCACTCAGCCCGTCCGCTACGACCCCATCGCCGCCGCCCAGGAGGGGTGGGGCGACGACGGCACCCAGCCCGTCCGCTACGACCCGCTGGCGGCTGCTCAGGGCGGCTGGGACCCGGAGGGAGACGGCGCCGCTCAGTACGACGAAGAGGGCGACTACGAGCAGGAAGCCCCCCGCGAGCAGGAGCAGGAGGAGTGGGCGGAACCGGCGACGGACGAGGCCGCTCCCGTCGCTCAGGAGGAAGAGCCTGAGGAACCGACAGAGGAACCGACAGAGGAACCGACAGAGGAACCTCCCGCAGAAGTCGCCGTCGTGCAGGAGGAGGAGGAGGCTGCCCCAGAGCCCGAGGAGGCAGCTCCCACGGTGGAGGTGGAGGAGGGTCAGGTAACGGACACGGAAAGAGAGATGCATTCGGAGTAACGGTGGCGGATGCATCGGTTCTGGAGGAGAAGGTGTGAGATAAATAAAAAAAAGTTAGATAGAAATCGAAGTTTTATCGAGGCCGTCCTCCTTCTTGGATGTCGATGGTTTTACTGAGGAAAAACAAAAAAAGAGATGTTGAGTTTAGATGATTGTTTTATGTCATCTTTCGACAGTTTGAAACCTTTTTTACCTTGGACGACTCCGGAATGATGTATAACTTTTGGCACAATTTCAAAGGTCATATTCAACATTCTTTAAAAAAAAACAAAAAAACAAAAACAAATCTAAACATTTTGACTTATCTCAGGCCAGAACCAAACCAGATTTAAAAAAACAAACAAAAGAAAAACGTCTCAATTTCAAAAACAGTGATCAATTGACCTTTGAACCCTTTTCTACCTTGGATGACTCCGGAATGACGTATAACTTTTGGCACAATTTCAAGCACATCCTTAAAAAAAATAAATAAATACAAAATTTTGATTTGTCTCAGTCCAGATTAAAAACCAGATTAAAAAACAAAAACCAATTCTGGAAAAATAAAATACTGAAATCGAAATTTAGACTTATTTCAACTTAATTTATAGACCTAATTTAGTCCTGATTTTAGTCCTGGTTTAGTGCTCATTTAGACCTAGTTTAGACCTAATTTTAGTCCTGGTTTAGACCTAGTTTAGACCTAATTTTAGTCCTGGTTTAGACCTAGTTTAGTCCTAATTATAGCCCTGATTTTAATCCTGGCTTAGACCTAATTTTATTCCTGAATTTAGAGCTGGTTTAGTCCTCATTTTAGTCCTGGTTTAGTCATGGTTTTAGTCCTGGTTTAGTCATGGTTTTAGTCCTGGTTTAGACCTGGCATGTTTTATAAACCAAAGCACAGTTTGGTCAAATTCTAGTAGCTTGAGCTCTAAAACCTGCAAAATCAGAGAGAGAAATGTCTCGATTTTGAAAAAGATGATCAATCGACCTTTGAACCCTTTTCTACCTTGGACGACTCCGGAATGAGGTATAACTTTGGTGACATCCTTAAAAAAATCTAAATGTTTATTCGAATTGTCTCAATCCAGTATCAAACCAGGTTTAAAAAAAAAAAAAAAAAAAAACTTCTGGAAATATAAAATACTGAAGTCGAAATGTCTCGATTTCAAAAACGTTGATCAATCGACCTTTGAAACCTTTTATTCCTTGGACGACTCCTGAATGAGTTATAAATTTTGGAACAACTTCAAACGTCACATCCTTAAAAAAAAAAAAATCTAAATGTTTCGACTTGTCTCAGTACCAAATCAGATTAAAAAAAATAAATACATAAATAAAAACATGTGGAAAAATAAAATAAAATAGTCGAAATACCTCGAAACAGTGATCAGTCGACCTTTGAAACCTTTTATACCTTGGACGACTCCTGAATGAGGTATAACTTTGGTCACATCCTTAAAAAATAAATTTAAATCTTTCTTCTTCTTGTCTCAGTCCAGTACCAAACCAGATTTTTTTTTAAATTAATAAACAAATAAAAACTTCTGGAAAAACAAAATACTGAAAACGTTAATCAATCGACCTTTGAAACCTTTTCTACCCTTTCTAAATTGTTCCAAAGTGTTTCATTTTATACTAATATACTGAAAATGCATTCTTAAATTTTTGAAAAATGACGTAAAACAATTATTTAAAGTCAACATGAGTGTGGGTATGAAAAGAAAATGGATTAAGCTCCGTTGGGGTGTTTCTCTCGTGTTTCTCTCTAGGAGCATGTCACTGTTACACACTTCACAGACGCTAAACACACTCACGATTTAGACGCACAAAGTCTCGCACACGTCACACGACTGTCACTGCTGTGAGCGAACGCTGTAGTCCGTGTGCTTGTCTGGGCCGCACGCCTCAGTCGTGGTGCTCTCTGTGTCCTCTGTGAGTCTGAAGCTCTGTCTGCAGGTTTGTGTCTGTCGAGTCTAACACTAACACTGACCTCCTCCTCTTCTTCTTCCTCCTCCTCGTCCTTCTTCTTCTTCTTCTGTCAGAGCGACTCAGGAGCAGCTGCCACTTCACCAGAAGCTGCACCGGCGCCGCCAGAACAGGTGAGGGCAGCACACTCCAGGGATCTGCAGCGTGGTTATAGCACAGACTAAACCAAAGGGCTTCAACAGGAGGGTTGCAAAATCTTTGCTTGATTAGACTTTTTTTTTTTTTGGTTGGCTGGTTTTCAGTGGGTTCTGTCTGTTCGCTCCTTCATCACGTCTGTCTCTTTCTCTCTTCATTCCCTCGTCTCGCACTTTCTGACAAACTACAAACACGTCGACGTAGATTTTATAGTTTCTTCTTGGCTACATGTGAAGAATTCCGTTACCGCTTCACTTTTACGCACAGCGGAACTTTTATAGCAGTTATATTTACACTGATGCTACAACCTGATGGACATTGCATCTCTCCTGTTAAGGTTAATGCAAAAATTGTGCACTGTCCCTGTCTCAAATAAATAAATAAACTCAAACTAATCACTGTGTCAGAAACGATTTGCGTCCAGACATGATCCACACAGTAACGCGAAACCTGCTGAAACACTAGTCACATGACTAGGCTGGTATCACATCGTCACGACGTCACGTGGGCGTTAAAAACAAGGAAGTGGAGCACCATGTCTGAAGTTGCAGCAGCCGATTTCGAGCCGAGGAAGATGGAAAGTGTGAAAACTGTCTACTACTACTACCAAGTAGATGTAGCTCCACAGTTTCCCATTTGTCTCTGGTTTGTTTAAACTGTTTTCCGCAACAGTGTCACATGACCGATGTCACGAACCCAGAGAATCAGGAATCAGGTTTAGTCCTGGTTTTAGTCCTGGTTTAGACCTGGCATGTTTTATAAACCAAAGCACAGTTTGGTCAAATTCTAGTAGCTTGAGCTCTAAAACCAGCAAAATCACAAAGAGAAATGTCTCGATTTCGAAAACAGTGATGAGTCGACCTTTGAAACCTTTTCTACCTTGGACGACTCCGGAATGATGTATAACTTTAGAACAACTTCAAAAGTCATGGCCTTAAAAAAAAAAATTTTTTTTGACTTGTCTCAGTCCAGTACCAGACCAGATTAAAAAAATAAAAAAAACTTCTGGAAAAATGAAATAAAATACTGAAGTTGAAATGTCACGAACCCAGAGAATCAGGAAGGCGCAAGTCACAGTGACGTGGTCCAATAAGGACGCGACTAGAGCTCCTACGTCAGAGTATCAACCGGATCAGATCTGTACTGAGCTGGAGGCATCAGATCGTTCCGTCTCTGGAGCCTTTTTCCATCGGATCAGTGTGAACGAACACTGCATCCACAACGAAAACAACTCGAATATGAACTAGTGTGGACGGGGCCCTGAAGCTCCACATCAGGCAACTTCACTCCCCGGGAGAATTAACCAGACTCCGGACTGTGCAGCTGCTTTCCGTCTATCCACGGAGCGACCGGGAGAGGAGGAGGAGAACAGGAGAGGCCTCTTGCTCCTCAGATCAGAATGAGCGGAAAAATTCTGTGTCCCGTATCAAACTCTTGTCCGTGCGCTGTGGCTCCTCTCTCGTTTAATCAGACCATTAAAAAAGTCACACTTTGAGCCCATTTTCCGAGATGTCATTGGCCCATTGCTCTGTCCTTCCCAGAGTCACCGGGAGTGCACAAAGAGCAGTCCAATGAGTTCCAAAAATTTATGTTATTAGGTTCTTTTTTCGGACCAAGAGTTTGTTTTCATACCTGACAGTTTTGACACGTGACCACTCTGAGGAACAGCGCTAGTGAGCAGTCGAAACTGTCAGGTATGAAAACAAACTCTTGGTCCGAAAAAAGCACCTAATAACAAGCACAAAGAGCAGCATAAACTTCAGGTCTGAACGTTTTAGGATTATTTGTGTCCTGGTGTAAAGACGACTTAGGTCCTCACCTGTCTCTGTTCTCTCATCTGGGTGAAGTGCTTATTTGTTAATATTATCTATTGAGTTTGGTCCTTTACATTATTATTTAGGCCATATCAGACTGTTGGTTGTGTTCTCTCCAGACACACGTGGATTTAAGGGGAGAGGGACGTGCAAAGGGTGTGACATCACACGCCGATTTGGACACATGCCAGGAGCTGTCAGGGCCGTGGAGCTAACATTATTGGAATATATCACTTGTGGATTATGGCATTTCCATATGTGTCGGATTGTACTAATCTATGGGAGCTGCTGGACTGTGGGACAAAACCAGAGCGCGGGTGGCGTGAGTAGCTCAACGGACTCTTGAAACTCACGTAACGCTGCCGCGCAGAAAAAGTTTTGAACTTTTTGGGGACAAGGAAAGTTGCTCGGGACGGTTGCGGTGAAGGTGGTGGACTCATTACGAACTGCTCTTTATTGTTTTGTTGCACTGTGGTTTGGGATTTGTGTTTGGGTTTTGGGAACAGGTGAGCTCGGGCGCAGGGTGGGGTTTAGTGTTAATGGTTAATGTGGCCAATCTTGCATATATCTGGCAAAGCCAATAAAAGCCAGAAAGGCCAAACGCCCTTTATTTTTTGCGTGTCTTTGTTTCACCCTGCTGATGTGAATAGATCCTCCCGCATCCTTAAATTTGTGTTGTAGCTTTTCGTTTGTCAAGAACAGGTGAATTTTTACAATAGAACGAGTTGAGGCTTAAACTGGAGATGGAGATAGATTCAGCTCAGGATTTCAGGATGAGGCTGAACTTGTTAAGCCACTTTGACTCCATCAGTTTGGGAGTCCCTGGCCTGAAAAACGCTGAAGACTCCTGTGTTTAACTATAAACTAAACTACAGAATGTAAAGAAGTGGACAAAGGCAGTGTGACGTCAGCTTCCGTCAGATGAATCTCAAGAGGACAGCGGTTACAGCAGCAAATTTGGAGCCGTTGCTGTAAATCCTCCTGATAACATGAGCTACCTGCATTTTCATCATTTAAAATTTAACATTTTCAGCATCTAAAACGACCGATATTTTTGTTGAATTAAAAACGAAACATAAATGAACCAAAGGAACGAGTGACGACACAATCAAACTTCCACTTCAAGTTTTGTCTTCTGAAACCTTAAGTAATTATTTAGACTAAATCTACTGATCTTAGTGCGTCTTGGCTTCACTGTGTTGTCTTGTTTGTGTTTGTGTACCTCAGAAGGAGGTGCTACTGGTAAACTCATTGTTTGTTTCCTTCATTCAGTAACAGTTAATCAGTCTAAAACTAAATCAAAACTTGTCAAAATAACCACTGCTCCTCTGTGTTCACTGTCTTTGTTCAGGAGGCTGCGGCGTCAGCACCAGCTGCAGAAGAACCCACGGAGGCTCCAGCAGCAGAGCCAGAGCTGCCCCCGGGTTTCATGTTTAAGGTGAGGAGACGAGGAGGAGCAGAGTCAGAGCTCGCACACTTTCACTCTGTCACACGGAGGTCTGACGGGACGCTGTTTCAGGTGGAGGTGATGCACGACTACGCCGCCAACGACACGGACGAACTGGACATGAAGGCAGGAGACGTGGTGCTCGTCATCCCCTTCGACAACCCGGACGAACAGGTCGGTGCTGCAGGGCCGAGCCACGGTCCTGAATCTGAGAGCTCACATGAGGGTTTGTGGATTTTGACTTGAATTTTAGCCTCACGACAGTTTGAAAGTCGAGACATCCATGTACAAGTTTCTCCTCTGCCCCATTGTGCCCAGTGTGAGGTCAGTTTATACGACTGTCGCTCCGTACAGTCACACTCCTGTTGTGAGCTTCGTATTCAGTCACACTGTGTGAGTTTGGGAATAATATGAAACATCGAAAAATCGTACAATCTTCACACAGTGTAAACGAGGTGTGCAATGGTACAAAAATCACGGTTCGGTACGTCCCTCGGGTTTGAGGTCACGGTTCGGTTCATTTTCGGTACAGTACAACAGAACAAAATGCAAAACCATTTACTTGTTGTTTATTTGTGTTTTTGTTAAACCAACAGTTTATTATAACATTATACAAACAGGAAAATAAAATAAATGCAAAGTGCTGCTTGGTGATACTAATAAGTTCAATAAAATATTCTCAAATAAGAAACAAATGTATGAAATATTATTAAAAAAAATAATAAAAAAAAAAGCTAACTTTAAATTCTTGGTTTCTTTTTTAAGACAATACAGTGTATTTATTTTGTTGAGATGTTTCTGCTGCTGCATCTTTAGAACTGTCCCTGGTGTTGGTGGTGACGTGTCGTATATCAGCTGTTGTTACTTCCTGTAGGCGTGGTCAATCTGAGCGACCTGCCAGGACCATCAGTCTGACCACGCCTACAGGAAGCTGATATACGACACGTCAACATGAACACTGGTGACAGTTCTGAAGATGCAGCAGCAGAAACATGTCAACAAGGTAAATACACTTTACTGTATCGTCTTAAAAAATAACCCAAGTTAAATTATAAAAAATAAATTCCTTGTAAACAGTAAACAAATCTTTTCAAACAATAAAGTGCTGCACTAACGGTTCCAGAATGAAGTTCTAATCTTCATATTTTTGGGGTTGGGGATTCCGTGGTAGTGAAAGGCGAAAGTGAGGACCAGGTTGCGAGGATTCACGTGGTTTGAAGGGACATAGTCAAGATGGGGGGTAATTGTTGTCAAGGCGGCCGCTCTAACTATAAAGCGCTGCAGGAAACCCCAATCCCCAATCACGAATGAGTTCGTTGAGGTCAGGGAAGTAACAAAAAAGTACCAAGATGGAAAAATGTAATAAATGAAGTAATGTTTAATTAACAGGAATGTAAAAGTGAATTAACAAAACAGACTAAAATATACAGAAAATAACTTAAACTAAGAAACAGAACAACAGACAACGGGTTTTGTGCCATAAAAGGGGTCATGTGGGCTCACACAAAATGAGTGGTAAAACTAAGGGACACACACAAAACTAATACACAAGTTCCCCAAATTAAACCACATAAGCCCACAAACAGAATCGAGTGACCAAATTTTAAAAAAGGCACAAAACAGAACTAAACTAAACTACACACACACGAACATGAACACAAACACAAAATGGCAGACTGACCACCAAGGCCAGCAGCCCCAAACAGGTGCAGGTAATCTTCTTAAACAGGGGGTGGTGGCTGCAGGTCAGGTGGGTGTAGACATGCTCCACCAATCACGAGCCAGGGCTCCCACAGCAAGAAACCATTGGAACAAGGAAAATTACAACACACACAAAAAAGTCAACAAATTGGAATACACGTGAATATTAAAGAGTCTCCATGGAGCTGCACCGAACCCAACGTCCCGTACCAAATGGTTCAGCATTAAAGGTTGTATAGAGGATGTTTTAAGGGAAGTGAAATACAGCGACAGTCCTTTTTAAAATGTTTGTGCATGTGTGACACCACCTTCCTCCTCCACAGCTCCACAAGTAGAAACATCTCCTCCCGCCTCTTTACTCTAGAAATCACGTTTGTTTACATCCTGTGCGTGTTCAGAATTACCGTTGAAGTGACCTGTCTAGAAATATTTCAGCGACCGACGCGTCAGTTTTTAGACCCTTCGTCTGCTTCAGTCGCGCCATCGCTGGAAGGAATCTCCAAGAATCACCTCAGTTTGGCTATACTCCTTTTCCCCTTCTCTTCTTCTTTCAGCGACCTCAAAAACAGACTTTCTTTTGCGGCGAACCGGTCGTGGATTCTCGTCCGCCATCGCATCAAACTTGGTGCGAAATGCGAGGAAGCGACAGTTTGAAAAAGCCTCTAAGAACCACTGCATAAACCACGTGATCCCCGCACGCCGACGAGTCAGTTACACTAGAAACGTAGGGAGTTTGAGTGACAACTGAACAGCCAATAGAAAATGAGGGAGCCTCGTTTTCTATTGGCTGATGTTTATCTGGCCTCACTACGTCCACAGTTGATAGATTTTCATTCTTTTCTTTTTTTGTTCATCATAATTACAAGGCTGCTGCGTCTCTGTCATGATATTTTAATCTTTCATTGACAATTTGAAACAAAAAAAAAAAATCCTCCATACAACCTTTAATATGTGTACACCCCTAGTGTAAACTCATCTTTAGGGGTTATCCCATAATGCTTTGCGATGCGATGTCACAATCTATTTTTAGTAACTGTGAGAAGTGCTTTTAAATGCCTCGAGTCATCAGGTGTTTGTGAATATCAGATTTATTTTGACGGTAACTGTGTGTATGATTATTCTAGCTGTCTGATTTTTCTTGCCCATGTAAACGTAAACGTAACCGAACCCACTAACCGTCGTTTTCCGTGTGAGCAGGACGACGGCTGGCTCATGGGCATCAAGCAGCAGGACTGGCAGCAGAACAGAGAGGGCGCCGCCAAGGGGGTTTTCCCAGAGAACTTCACCCAGCGCCTGTGAGGGAGCGAGGGAGAGAGAGAGAGAGAGAGAGAGGGACCTCACCTAACCCCTCCAGTCCTCCGCCCGTCCTCCTCCGCTCTCCTCTCCTCCCCCGGATATTCTATCTCCTCTAGGACTTTGGCCATAGACGCCGAGCCGCCCCAGCCTTGGCTCCAGGCAAAACATCCGGGAAGGTCTGCTACTACACTGTGCTCACCGGGACCGGGGCACGTCTGTGGGGCTGCAGGCGCCGGGGAAGCGAGGATCTGGGGTTTAAATAGGTTGCGTTCTTGTGAAGCTGCAGCGTTCTAAAGGCTCATTTATGTTCAAGACACAAACAGATACGCAAAGAAATCCGTGTATCATTCGTTCATTCGTTTTTCAATATAAAACCAAAAATAAGAAAATGAAAAAACTGTTTTCTTCATTATTTGTCTCCAAAACCAAAATGAAAAAATAGATAATGATTAGTTTTTTCAGTTTTCGATTTTGTGTTTAAATGAAAAATGGAAAAAAACTGATTATGACCGTTTCCCGTTTACGTGACTTCCGTGACTGCGATGCCGAAACTTTGCACTGCATATGGACTGAACCAGGACTGATCCAGGTCCGGGACCAGACCGGGACCAGAGCGGACTCCGAGCTTTTGCCTCAGCTTCGAGCTCTAGACCTGTCGTGGGCTCTGAGCCTCCGGTCTGGTCCCGGTCTGGTCTCGGTCTCAGTCCCGTTCTGGTCTCAGTCTGGTCCCGGACCTGGATCAGTCCTGGTTCAGTCCGTATGCAGTGCAAAAGTTCGACATCGCAGTCACGGGAAACGGCCGTTATCCGTTTTTTCCATTTTTCATTTAAACACAAAATCGAAAACTGAAAAAAATGAATCATTATCTGTTTTTTCATTTTGGTTTTGGAGACAAATAATGAAGAAAACAGTTTTTTTCATTTTCTTACTTTTGGTTTTATATTGAAAAACAACTGAACAAATGATACACAGATTCAAAGAGGCTTCTGTTCATCACTTGGTCCGTCTCCTCAGAATCCTAAAATCGGAGCTGTACATGAGCTGACCACTGGGGGCAGTAGTGCACACAGCTCAATAATGGAAGCTGAACTATTTAAAACGTGACTAGAACCAACTTCAGAGCAAATAAAAGCTTCTCTGTCCTCGTTTTTCCAACAGACGCGATCTAAAACCTCCACGTTTGTTTATTTGTTGCTCTATTTTGTTGTTTTGGTCAATTCTCAAACTGAAATTCAGCGCCCTCTGGTGGTTTGAAAACGTTTGGAAGCATAAATTGAAGGACGGTTACTACAGGATTTGTTTACGTTTGAGTTGAGCATAAATGAGCCTTAAAAAGCGTAAACTTGAGATGGAAGACGAGGTACAATTCTACGGTCAAATGAAAACTCTTAAAACTCACATTTATACATTTGTAATTTCTGGGTGAAACAAAAACGAGCAATGACCAGTGTCACTTCTTTCAACACACACAAGATGTAGTTAAATAAATAACGGGTGCTGGTTCTATTCCCCCATCCACGTTTGCTGGTTTAACCTTTTAAAATCTCTCCTCTTGCATTTATTCCGTGTAGTTAAGCCAAATAAGTTTTATCGCAGTACAGAGAAACTGTCCACATAAATAAGTTTTCTAATTGTCCGAGAGTCAGGAAATCTGGCACATGGCTCCAGACTGACTAGTGGTTGCTCCAGGTACTGCAGCTCCAGGAGTTTGGGAATTCATTTTGGAAATTCAATCTGCCCGTGTTCTGACAGGGCATCCGGACAAACTCGGATTTTGTAGGATTCTATATTTTCACAACATAAAGTTTTTAACATTTTTTAAAATCCTCAAGGCGCCTAAAAATGATCTTTGTCAGACTGAGCCTCGCCGCTCTGAGCCGCTCTAGCAGCTCTCGCTCTGATTGGTCCAAACGCTCCACGCCGTGCGCATTACAGACGTCACACGGGTGGTAGGAGCTCGCCCGGATTCAGGAATTAAATCCGGAAGAGAAAACTGTTTTTGGGCCCGTGTGCGAATGAGCACAGAGCACTGAAAACAACTTGATTTTGGGTTCACTTTCAGATTTTATAATAGTTCTAAAAGTTGCTGAGAGCGCTTATAAATTAATTGTGGAGAATAATTAGGACGCTCGGAATGCCTTAGGAAATAATTTTGGACTTCGGCAAACTGTAAAAAACAAATCTTTCTGTTTTTCGTGTTGGGTCCCATTTGGAGAATCCAGCTTCTCGCTCACGTATCGTTAAGAAGGATGAAACGCCTTGAACACATCGTCAGTATTCAGCACCAGCAGCGGGGATTGAACCAGCAACCTTTACATACGTGATCGAGCTACTGACTTTCTTAAACACTCTGCTTATGTTTATATATTTCCAGTTTCACCCTGCCTGGACGACTGAGAGATTTCACAAACCAGTCTCAAAGATAAACTGAAAAAATCGGTACCTTCTTCTCGAATTCACGAAAATGAACGCAACCTATTCTTAAAACGTCCCGTCCTACAGCCCCGACACTTGAATCTATCCACGCTTACGTCACAAAACCGGAAGACGTTTGGAAACATGCGCACGACGACTTTCTTTGGGTTCTGTTGACGATAGAAACTTTGACAAAATCTGAGAAAATGGCTCGGTTTTCTTCATCTAAACGTCATTGCATTCTTTCTTTTTCTTTTTATGAATTGCCTTTTCATTGTCTAAAAGAAGATGCCGCTGTAGCGTTCCGTTATACGTTCAGACTGCAGCCTGAAGTGACCCAAATCCATCTTTTTTAGCCCCTATTAATTTATATTTGATGGGGATTTCTAGCCTGATTCATGAGCCGGTTTCACTTCGTAGAAACCGTGTGACCTCGCAGCATTAGGATTCATTCACTCGACAGTAGACGGTACTTTTTTTATTTAACCAATCGCTGCTGTTTTGTCGTGACGTATGTAATGCGCCAAATCCCTTAGGAAGAAGGACAAAAACGTCTTTCCTCTTGATAAAATTCACCAAACATTCTCTTTGTTCCGGCTTTAAATCCTCGATCTCGGGAATCGTTGCCAACACAGAATGTCTGTCTTCGTCTACGTCCATCTCGACGCTTTGTTTACTGTTGTGCTGTTCCACAAAAGGGACACAGACAGACGCCACGAGTTTGACGTCATGGCTTCATGGCTCTTCTCTGATTGGCCGGTGCGCGGTCTACAACTTTCGGGGTTCTTGCAAATGGTCTAGTGTCGGAACTGGGCGTTTTTTTGAAATGATTGCCAAAGAAATGTCCAGAGCGCGGCTACAGACGGTCCTGACTCCAACGTCAACAAAAAATAAAGAGGCTGCGAGAAAATATAAGGAGGATAAAGACTCAAACAAACGAAGCGGTCGTGGACGTGTAAGCTGAACATTTTACCAACAACTGGACCAGATTTTGCGAGACGAGCCCAGAGTTTAGGCGACTTCCGTAAACACTGAACATGCTCGCTGTGTGTGACGTCGTCGTGTCCTCCAATGCTCATGCGAGACACTTTTGGGGCGTTTAAAGTTCACACTGGAGATCACATACAAGTCACATTTAACTGGAAATGTGAACAACCTCGCAAAAAAAAATCAGATTTCACAAAAAAATCCAAATTCAGCATTAAGCCCTGCAGTCTGAACGTAGCCTTAAGCCGGGTGTACACTGTGCGATTTCTGACCCTTTTTGAGCCGATTTTTTTTGGGGATCGGGCCGAGTTTTGGCTTCATCGTGTGTCGTGCTTCGTGTCGTAAACATGGGGTAAAGAAAACCGATTAATCCCTCACGACCAGCTCCCGATCGACATTCGTAGGTCGCAAGAAAATCAAACTTCTTTAAAATCCAGTCGCCTCTCGTGAGGGTTTCGCTCTGTTGAAGTCGTTCCACGAGCCAATTTGCCAGAATCTGTCAGACTGAGCATGTGCGGACACAGAAGAGGAAGCAGGACATGAGGTTGTGGAGGACGATGGCGCCGACGACTGTTTTGGACACAGGACATGGAGGCGCAGCTGATCGAGCAACACAGAACAGAAGTTTGGTGAAAAACTTGATGCTACTGACCTCCAGTTCCCTCTGAAGAACTGACAACCCGTTACAACCCATTTCTTTAACCAGTTTTATTCATTTATTCATCGCCTCTTCTTTTTGGGCTTGTCTGCATGGTTTTCTACTTCCGGAACAACATCTCCAGTCGTTATGTGAACATACAGTGTGCACAGGCAGGTTGCATCAGAGCATCGGTTCGTACAGTGTGAGAACATAATTCGTGAGCTGTGAACTTTTAAACCCTGTGATTTGGTCGTACAGTTTAAGCTGGGGCTGAGTGACACGACCGAAAATATCGCACAGTGTACGCCCCCGGCATTAGTGACATCGAAGACACGATTAGAGTCCCGTCCTCCATGAAAAGCTTTAACAGGTTGTGAAGAGTGTCGTCATCCGAGTGTTTCCAAACGTCTTCCGGTGAGCGTGAACAGATCCTGCTGTGCTCACGTCAAAGACACTTTCAGAAACACAAGTATAGCCATTGCATCGGTGCCACTTTAAGGGAAGAAACAGGTGGAGTCTCAGCTTTAGACGATACGTACAAAGACTCATCGAAGTATATTATAGTCCACCTCATTCTGAACCCATCGCCGTGATCCAGAGATATATTAACCAGGAGGTGCTTTTTGCAAATACGAGATGTTGTGTAGCAATGAGTCTGCTCTCCATTCGGTATTATTTCGGAAACAGAACAGAATTTGTACATCTGTGAGCGACTGTTAACTTAAAAATGTGCAAAAAGTAGTGCGTGTAGGACAACAGCAGGAGTCATAGGTCCATAGTTAAAGGGCTCGGCCATGTTACCCCCGGTTCTGTACACTTTTAGACGGACTCTAGTGTAGTGTAGTCTCACACGGGTATGCACTGTCCCTCTGTAGACCTTCGGGCGTGTATGGGAGCACGTTTGAGTCGATATTAAAGGAGACGCATGACGCGAATTTGAAAAACATCAGTAAGTTTTAAG